TGTGTGTGTCAGAACTGCATTCTGCTTAATTTAGTAGGAATTACTCTTTGGTAAGCAAGTATAGGATTGTAGCCAAGAGAGTATCTGCTGTTGTTTCATATATATGATTATGTTCTAAATCAATCAAGCTTTCGATGGGTGAATAACTCAGGACTATGTCTGTTCTTGTTTTATTGTATTTTAAAGTTAATTGTATTGTTTTAATCTACTGCTGTAAACTGCTCCGAGCCAAATTGGAAGTAGCGGTATACAAGTCAAATAAATAAATAAAATAAAATAAATCATGGGCAATCCTCGGCCCTCCAGATATTTTGGACTTCAACTCCCAGAAATCCCAGCTAGCTTGCTGGCTGTAAGGAATTGTGGGAATTAATAATAATAATAATAATAATAATAATAATAATAAACTTTATTTATACCCTGCTCCATCTCCCCCAGGTGGACTCAGTGCAACTTACATGAGGCCACGCCCATCAGTACAATACACACAATATAACACAAAAGCATAACAAAACCAGAAAATGAAATACATAAAATAGAAAACCAATATAATGAATGACACAACAATATAAAATCAACCATTAAAACACAAAAGATTTTCACTGGGCAGGGCCAAATTCAAAGATAAAATTTTAAAGTGCTGGGAGATAGGACAATGTACATTATCGGGGAGGAGGATCCAGGGATAAGGAAGGATTTAATTGCATGAACCATAAAATAAAGTGCTTCTGAGGTCACTTTGTGCAAAGTTGGTCAGGGAGTATCTTACATTCAATCATTGAAGGCACTTTGAAATAACCAAGTTTTCAGATTCCTCTTGAAGAAGTCAATTGAAGTCAACCTGGAGGGCTAAAGTTTGTCCATGCCTGTTCTAAATCCATTTTCTGTTCCCAATTTGAATAGATCTACTAACTTAATAGAAAGCACTAATTCCATCTAGAATGCTCTCGTTGGAATTAGCAATTGGATTTAATCCTATGCATCACTCTTTCATTTTTTTATTGTTGTGAAATTCTGTTTCCTTGGAAAATGTGCATCAGTATAAGAAAACCAATAAAAAATGATGATGCCCTCTAATATGGAATAATAGTGGAATCGAGCAATTTAGGGTAGACAGACACAGGTAGTGAGCACCAGACTGTGGATAGCAAAACACACACTATGGATAACCAGCACTGGGTCTCCTGAGGATCTGAGAAGAAGCTATAACCCAATGTTCTCCAATCAAGAAGTCTCACCAGTTGAAAAAGAAGAAGCCATCAAAGTATTTTATTAAGTCCAGCTAGAAAGGACAGCCACAGAAAGAAGCTGACATGTTTGACACAGGCTAAAGCATCCATTTTTATACAGTAGAATCTTTCCTGCGCATGGCCAGCCGGAGCTGGCTCCATGCTGATTGGTGGAGCCATGTTGCCATCACAGCCTGCTGGGGAGGATTCCCTCTATGAGGTGGAACTGTGGTGCTTGCCAGCCAATCAGAGAGCGTTTCCCATTTCCAATGCAGATTTCCGCTCTCCAATGGCTGACAGAGGACAGGATGATCCGGAAGACAAAAGTTTTTGTGAATGAATAACTTTGTCTCTCTTAAGACAAACAAAATGGGGCCATCGGGTCCCTGATGCTTATGGGATTTTCCCTTTGTCATGCCCATGTCCATTGTAGTCCATACCAGAGTATTGCCCAAAGTGATGGGATTAGGGAATCCAGTTCTGGGAAAAGGGAAATGTCATTTTGGGAAGACAGGGCATGACCTCTCAGTATCAGAGCAGAAGTGCCAGGTGATTAATATTCTTATTATGTGCCGGTGGCTGCACAAAGGACAGGAGGCTTATGGATCCTGATGGATTCCTGACGGCTCTTGGGGAGTTTCCCGCCATCTCGGTAGGTGATTCTGTTGATTCCCTGGTCGCTCTCTGGAATGGGGAGATGGCTAGGGCAATAAACACAATCGCTCCTGAACGTCCCCTCTCAAGTAGCCGAGCTAAACCTGCCCCTTGGTTTACTGAGGAGCTGGCAGCGATGAAGCGAAGGAAGAGGGAACTAGAGAGCGTGTGGCGTTCGGATCCAAGCGAGCCAAATCGAACATGGTTTATGTCCTTTTTAAGGGCATATGCCGCGGCAATAAAAGCCGCAAAGAAATCCTTCTTTGCGGCTACTATTGCGTCTGCAAAGAACCGTCCGGCTGAGCTGTTCCGAGTTGTCAGAGGCCTGTTAAAACCCACCACTCAGGATGGGAGCCCTGGTGACTCGGCAGCTCGCTGTGAAGCCTTTGCTCAGTTCTTTGCGGACAAAGTCGCTTTGATCCGCTCTGGTCTGGATACCATATTAACGACAGTCTCTGAGGATGTAACACGAGCATCTTCTTGTCCAGTTTTGATGGATTCATTTCAATTGGTGAAACCCGAGGATGTGGACAAGGTGCTTGGAGGAATGAGGGCAACCACATGCATCCTAGACCCCTGCCCATCCTGGCTTCTAAAGGAGGCCAGAGGGGGATTGGCCGAGTGGGTGAAGGTGGTGGTTAATGCCTCCCTTCGGGAAGGCATAATTCCAGCCAGCTTAAAACAAGCTGTGATAAAACCGCTGTTGAAAAAACCATCACTGTACCCCACTCAATTCGTGAACTATCGGCCTGTTTCCAGTCTCCCCTTTTGGGGCAAAGGCCTGGAACGTGTGGTGGCCTCACAACTCCAGGCATTCTTGGTAGACACGGATTATCTGGATCCGGCACAGTCTGGCTTTAGGCCGGGACATGGTACTGAGACAGCCTTGGTCGCCTTAGTGGATGATCTGCGCCGGGAGCTCGACAGGGGGAGTGTGTCCCTGTTGGTGCTGCTGGACCTCTCAGCGGCCTTCGATACAGTCGACCACCACGGTATCCTTCTGGGACGCCTCGCGGGGATGGGTCTTGGAGGTACTGTTTTGCAGTGGCTCCGGTCATTCCTAGAGGGTCGATCTCAGAAGGTGTTGCTGGGAGACACCTGTTCAACCCCACAACCTTTGTCTTGTGGGGTTCCTCAGGGCTCAATACTGTCTCCCATGTTGTTTAACATCTACATGAAGCCGCTGGGGGAGATCATCCGGAGTTTCGGGGTACGGTGTCATCTGTACGCGGATGATGTCCAACTCTGTCACTCCTTTCCACCTGCTACTAAGGAGGCTGTCCAGGTCCTGAACCGGTGCTTGGCCGCTGTGACGGTCTAGATGAGGGCGAACAAATTGAAATTGAATCCAGACAAGACAGAGGTACTCCTGGTTAGTCGAAAGGCCGAACAGGGTATAGGGTTACAGCCTGTGTTGGATGGGGTCGCACTCCCCCTGAAGACGCAGGTTCGCAGCTTGGGTGTGATCCTGGACTCATCGCTGAGCCTGGAACCCCAGGTCTCGGCGGTGACCAGGGGAGCATTTGCACAGCTAAACTCATGCGCCAGCTGCGCCCGTACCTTGGGAAGTCTGACTTGGCCACGGTAGTCCACGCTCTGGTCACATCCCGCCTGGACTACTGCAACGCTCTCTACGTGGGGCTGCCCTTGAAGACGGCCCGGAAGCTTCAGCTAGTCCAGCGCTCGGCAGCCATGATACTAACAGGAGCGGAGCGCAGGGAGCACACAACTCCTCTGCTGCACCAGCTCCACTGGCTGCCGATTTGCTACCGGGCTCAATTCAAAGTGCTGGCGTTGGCCTTTAAAGCCCTAAACGGTTCAGGCCCAAGCTACCTATCTGAACGTATCTCTGCCTATGAACCCACCAGGACGCTAAGATCTTCTAGGGAGGCCCTCCTCTTGATCCCGCCTGCTTCACAAGCACGGCTGGCGGGGATGAGAGACAGGGCCTTCTCTGTGGTGGCCCCTCGGCTGTGGAACGCCCTTCCCATGGACATAAGATCAGCTCCGACGTTGATGGTGTTTCGGAAAAAATTAAAAACCTGGCTGTTCGAACAGGCATTCAGATAAATAGTGCAATGAATACGATGAATATAGGAACGGAATTATAGACGACGAGTTGGATCACGATTCTAGTTACGAGATGCTATTGTGTTGTTATTGTTGTGCCATTATTTGTATATTTTGCTCTCATGGTTTTAAATTGTTATTGCTATTTTGATATGACTGTCTTTTGCTCTGTTGTGAACCGCGTTGAGTCGCCTACGGGCTGAGAAACTGCGGTATACAAGCAAAGTAAATAAATAAATAAATAAATAAATATCAGGGTCCAGTTGTCTCTTACACAGCCAGGTCTATGGAACAGAGAGGATGGGTGCTCGGATCCATTGTTATTGGGTGATAACCAGGAAAACTGCTAGAGGAAATTCCAGGATTATGAGGTGCTGGTGAAAGGTCACCTGGATCTTGATTAATGGCCAGGTCTCCAAAAGATTTTATAGGAAATAAAAATGGGATATTATCTATACACTGAGGGTCCATGGATACGGGGGACTCCCAAATGCATGAGTGAGGGTTGGCAAAGGGGTTAGTTGGGGTGCAAAAAGGTTATCCTAGGAGGGAAAGAAGGAGAGGAGCCCCACTCTGAGGCCTGCGGGGGCTATGATGCTAGGCAGTTACCGAGGCCGGCTGCAAGAAAGAGGAAATGACACAAAAAAGGCCAAAAAAGGATGCAAAGAACAAATAATAGGGTAACACACCAAAGTGTATGTTTATTCAAAGGGGATATTTTGTATTAAAAGGAGAAAAGAAAGTATCCAGGATGCTGGCAGCTGCTATTGGGCTTCTCCATTCCTCCAAAAGTTCACATCGTCCATCTCTGTGAGGCTCTGGGCTCCCGCTATCCTTTGTCATGGCTTCAGTTATAATTTTAAATAATTTGACCCCATGACAAATTGACATCAATTGGACAACCTATCCATGCTAATGTTAGATCTAAAATAATGGGGATGACTGCAGAGATTTCTACCTTTGACATGCAGAAACTTAATGTCAGGCCCCTTCTACACTGCCATATGAAAACCAGATTATCTGCTTTGAACTGGATTATATGGCAGTGTAGTCTCATATAATCCATTTCAAAGCAGATAATGTTGATTATCAGCTTTGATAATCTCTAGATTATATGGCAGTGAAGAAAAGGCCTCAGTGTTCCAACAATGCTTTTTAAACAGTTATCAAACAAATAAGGTTTTGCTTCTCATTATTTGCTTTGGATGTTGTTTTTAATAGTCAGTGATTCAATGGATCCTGAAACATGTGAAGCTGAAAAATACTGGAGCAATGGATTTGCAGCACTACAGATCTGTATTGATGCAGTGTTGATAAAGGTAAATAGCTAGAATGTGAAAAATTGTTTTGTTGTATCTAAAGTATTTAAAACCTTAAAAAAATAAAACTGACATTTTCTTGTCTTTTAAGAAACAATTTTCTTATACATTAGCACTTCTCCTGGTGTATGACAATAATAGTTGGCTCTGTGTGTGATGGTTACATTCATAATGATTTCTGAAGGAATATTAGAACAAACCTTCTATGAAATACAAATGTACATCACATACTATTATGGATGCATGCTGCAGGATGAGCAGTGGTTAATTGTAGACAGTGTGTCAAATTGTGATTTTCTGCACATACTCATGTATACATTTAGAACGTCAAAAAATCAACTCCAAAACCTTGATCAACTTATCCATAGCCTCTATAAGTACTACACCTTAACTCTTATATATAAAAAGGAACCACCCCTTTTTCTGGAAGAAAGGTGAGAAATAATTAGTCTATCCCAGATGAGCCTAAAATAAGTATAATCCTCCTCTGACCTCTATGATGTGGTGGTACTTCTGTCCTTTGAATGCTGGGGCGGGTAAATGACGGAGTGACTGGCTCCTAAGGCAACAATGGCTCTTTACCCTCTTCACAGAATCATGGTTGACATTCACATATCAAAAACCATAATTTTGGTCCCCCAAATATGCCTTTGACTTACATACAAGGTCAACGTATACATAAGTGTCACATTTTCTGGTGTATAAGATGACTTTTTAACCCTGGAAAATCTTATGAAAAGTCGGGGGACATCTTATACACCCGGTATATGGAAAAGAATAAAATCCAAGTCCCTTAGTGATGCAGCCTGAGGAAGAGGGAGGGAGGAGAGAGGGAGGGCATGGAGAGGAGGAGCGGCAGGCCGCATTGCCACGGAGACTGGCCGGGGGTGGTGGCCTGCTGGGCTGTCCCTGTCGCTCTCCCCGCTCTACTTTCAAGACCCTCCTCCACCCGCGCTACTCTCCCCACTCTACTTTGAAGCAACTTCTCCAATGTTGCCATTTCTGGGCAGCCGGGAGAGAGAGGAAGGAAGCAAGGCAACCCAATCGGCCAGCAGAAGCCTCCAAAGGCCACCAGGCTTGTCTAGACCCAAGGAAGTGCCCCCGGACTACAACTCCAGCAGCCCCGGGTGGTGGAGTTCCTTGGACGTGCCCACTGAGGCATTCTGGGAGTCATAATTCCCAAATCACCCCCAGCTTGCCCCGCATTGACAAGGTTTGCACTTGGGAGTTTTTGTGACTAGATGGGCATTGAATAGAATTGCGTTGGAAGAGGGATAGTCTTATACAACGAGTATATTCCAAACTCTATATTTTAACTTGAAAAGTTGTGGGTCGTCTTATATGACCAGTCATCTTATACGTCAGAAAATACAGTATATACAGCAGATTCAAATTGCCTTTTCTTGAATGGAACAGCTTTTCAGTTGATAGTAGGTACTTAAGTGGAGTTTTCCAGTGAGAATAGTTAGTTCCCTATACTGTTCTGGGAGATTTCCCAACCATTTGAAGGATATTTTTGAGCCATAAAGCGAACAAACTGGTATTATTTAGCTGTATATCTTTAGATATAAAGTCTATCTATTAAAATATTTGCTGCAATAAAATGATGTAATATTTCCCTCCCCGCCCCCTTTTAGTACAAGACCAATCATTCAGTTTTGGAAAAACTGGAATCAACACAAGCCATCATGATGGGAAAATCTGCTGGTACAGAAATAGATCATTATATTCGCTTGGTTGTATTACTTTACCTTGTGGTTGCTTTTTCACCATTTGGCAATTTCTTGGCAATCCACATTGTGACAGAGAAAGAAAAAAACCTGAAAGAATTCTTAACAGTAATGGGACTTCACGACACAGCTTTTTGGTACGTGAGTATGTGTTTTAGTTCTTTGATCATACATAAATAGAACAGTTGTCATGCTATCTCATGGGAGAAGACACACATAATGGCTTGGATCCTAAGAGGTCATAGTTTAATCGCATGTGTTTTGGACGTCACCTTTCAGAAACTTCAGTTAGCTTGGCCAAGGGAATCTGGAAGCTAAAGTCCAAAATATCCAGAGAATTAAAGACTGACAACCATGGCAGGAAAATCTCACATGCTTTCCTCTACTGAAGTCTTCACATTGAAGGATTCCTCAGAATCCTAGGATATGGGTACTGCTCATAGAGGAGAAATCTGGCTAATCCATCATCAAGTCTCTATAGTCTATTCCACATTTTTGAACCTCCCCCATCTCTTTTAGATATTTGGGGAGACTTGGGTGGCTGTAGCAGATAAGAGGGGATGTGCAAACTATTCTTCCATGAACTTTCCTAAATTAACATATTTCAGGATCAAATCCAGTATTTTGTCCTTTGTCAGTATTTTGTCCTTCAGGTAGCACAAGGATGTTTCTCCATATGAAAAGCTTGGAGTCATTCAGTTTGAAGTTAAATGGTCAGATGTACGAACTTGTGGTACAGCATGCATGTCATGCACATCTATGTAGACTGTGGGTCCCCAGGTGTTTTGGCCTACAACTCCCAGAAATCCCAGCCAATTTAAAAGCTATTAGGATTTCTGAGAGTTGAAGGCCAAAACATTTGGGGACCCACAGGTTGAGAACCACCGATGTAAAGAAAATAGAATTATTTGGGGGGGGGGGGGTTACTTTAAAATGAATTATTTACAGTTATAGGGTTCCCAATCCCCAAAATAGTTAATTAAAATATTATTATTATTATTATTATTATTATTATTATTATTATTATTATTATTATTATTATTACTACTACTACTACTACTTTATTTTTATACCCCACCTCCATCTCCCCTAAGGCACTCGGGGAAGCATACAAAGGGACAAGCCCAGGGAGCACAAAGTTAAAAACATAACACAATAAAATAGCATCAAAAGAAAACCAAATAAAAACATATCACAATAAAACATAACATCATTTAGAACTGCATTTAGAACCGTCATCTTTCGATTCCCAATATTTTAAAATGGTTTAAAAACCCATGCATTAGTTCAATGGAAGAATGGATTTTTTTAAAAAAATAGTAGATATTATGAATATGGACAACTTATCACCTAAAGAACTATCAAGGCATCCTGAAGAAACCAGCAGACTGGACAATGTTAAAGGACTATCTGAAACAAGAAAATATGAAAATGATACTCTAAAGAATTTGGGAAGGTTATAGAGAGTGGATAATGAGGGGAAGAAAACTAAGTTTTGATTTCACAATGAAAGAGATTGGGAGTCAGCAAAATCCCCCCTTTTTTTCTTTTCTCCTTTTTTGGTTCCACCTCCCCTTCCCTTTTCCTCACACCCCAACCTCACTTATTAAACTCACTTGTGTGTTTTATTATTTGTATTCACTATTCTTTGATTAATAAAAACTATTCAACCCCCGCCCCCCAAAGCATTAGCATGTGCTTTATATGATATTCTTCATATAACATTGAATGAGAACATTCACCCACAGCAAAATAAGTTAGCACTCGCTGTATTAAGTAACAATTTAACTTAATTATGGTAGGGAAATGATTATCAAAGCCTGAGAAGTGGTAATACAGAAAGCATTCTTTCTTACTCGAATATAGAAACTGAGTCAGTACACCACACATTAAAAAACATTTCCTACTAAATAGCAAAAAACAAAAAGCATATTGTTTCATTGGTGACTTTTTGTGAGTGTTATTGAATCATTTAGCGGATCATCATTGGAGGAGAGAATCAAAATGCCAAACATTGCTTTGATTATCCATTTATATTGTACTGTGTGATGTTATACTCTACTGAATTTAAAGTTGTAGGCCATGTAAAATGAATGTTAAGGGTGTAGGGTCTGAAATAAAAGGTATGACCTCTGAATCCACTGACATAAGTTCCCAGAATTTGCAGAATCATGGATAATAGTGAACCCTATCGAAATGAAGGACTTCCAGCCAAATTCAGACATGCATTTAACTTTTTATTCCCATATCAGTAGCAACTTGAGAAATTGCAAGTCGCTTCTGGTGTGAGAAAATTGACAGTCTGTAAGGATGTTGCCCAGGGAATGGCCGGATGTTTTGCTATCCTGTGGAGACTTCTCTCATGTCCCCGCATGAGAAGCTGGAGCTGACAGATGGAAGCTCATCCTTCCCGGATTTGAACCGCCGATCTTTCAGTGAGCAGTCCTGCTGACACAAGGGCTTTAACCCATTGCGCCACTGGGGGCTCCTATGCATTTAACTATGATGAATAAAATATAGATAGTACTGTCATAGATGGGTTTAATTAATAATTATGTAGGTTAGAGGTTATCATCATTATATGATAAATGCCATATAAAACACAGTCGCACCCCTTCAGTTTTAATTGCATATAGAAGACTGAGGCTGGAAAAGTTCAAAGAAGGACACAATGATAAATGTTATATGAGGGAGCAGATTCTTCTCAGATTCTTGCTGTCTTTGTTACTGGACATGATATTCAATAATAGGTTCCTCCAGCAGATTTTTGATAAAATTTGCAAATGGAAGGGTTGGTTATTTTTTCCCCTGGAAATAACATGATACTGTAACTAAACTTTGGCCTGACTACAATCATCCTATAGCCTTCAAAGTTTTTCTGCACTGCTACTTTCCCATGTAATAATGGTCTCTTAGCACTAAAAAAAAGAAGAAAAAAAATCACTTTTAGTTTGTTTCTCCCTCCTCCCAAGCATATTTTAGTTAGTTTTCTCAGTTTGGTGTTTCCCTTCCCAGATTTCATTTTTCTATCACCATTTCCTGTTGTAATGTATTTCTGCTGTTCTTGTTCCCAATCATTTCTTTTCTCATTCTCATTCCTCTTGGGATTGCTTTTTCTACAGTTTGCATGAAACTGTCACATTATTTCAATTTAACGTATTGTTTGCATCAAATTCATAATGTAAAATCATTTTAAATAGAGCAAATAGTATCATCTCCTACATCGGGATGAATGATGGGACCACAGCATGTTTGGAAGTGAAATCCCTATGCTATCCAAAACATGTATATATGGAGATACACTTTAAAAATGTACCTGTTCCAACTTACATATAGATTCAACTTAACCTACATAACCTATCTTCTTCAAATCTTGGGAAATGTCTGTATATGTAAATACAGCTATTCCAAAATCTAGAAAAATCTGATATCCGAAAAGCTTCTGATCTCTGGCATTTCAAATAAAGGAGACAACCTGTATTCTATGAATATGAAATAATGCATTTCCATATGTCCACTATTATCCTGTACTTCATTTGTTTCATGCAAAGGCTCCTTTCAGGACTCATTTTGGACAGTGTATTTTAATATTGTTTAGCTGTGATTTAGTCATTTGTACAGATGACTATGAGTTTGTGAACCTTCATTGTTTTTTCCCCTCTTTCTAGGCTTTCTTGGGTTTTACTCTACGCCAGTCTGGTTTTTGTCATGTCCCTTCTCATGTCCGTCATTGCAACATTTTCTTCACTCTTTGGTCAAAGTAGCAGCTTTGTGATATTTCTTCTTTTTTTCCTATATGGATTATCCTCTGTAAGTTTGTGTGTATATGCATTTTAGAGCAATTTTACAGTCATTCTTGTTATTGTCACTTGCAAAGCAGTTTTATATCACACAGGCAGCTCCCAGTAAAGGTCATGACTTGAGTATTAGGGTAGCCAGATGGGAAATAATCATCATCATCATCAACAACAACAACAACTTTATTTATACCGCGCCATCATCTCCCCTACGGGAACTTGGAGTAGTTTACATGAGACCAAGCCCAAGCAACACATTACAATACAATGAGATACAAATTGCAATAAAATAAACAACATAACATTAAAGTATAAAACATATAAGCATATAAACAATATACACAAAACATTAAAAAAACAGGGGGATAGGGCGTCTGGACCTCTAGGAGGATCATATAAGGGGCTTTAATGTCGTCCTAGTCCACCTCCTTGTACAGTGGAGATAGCAACAGCTAAATCACCCCCATGATGCCAATCACCTTTTAAGATAGTTTGTTCCATGGCTAAATAATAAGATTATTTATCCCCCTGCTAAATAACTGTTTATTTAATGACTTACTCCTTATGTTTCATTGGATTTTCCCTTCTAAACAATGATGGCACAAGAGCTCTCTCTGTTTTCTGTTTAGACGTTTTTTGAGGGACATATAGTGAAGCCATGAATAATGAAAATTTAAGCCACTTGATATAGAAACAATGATAACTGACCCAGCATGTATGGCAATTCTGCTCATCCATCACTCACAGCATTGTGCACAGAAATTATTAGTGATGTATGGAAAGAACCAGACAGAAAATGGAATGAAAGAAAGAACCATTGTAGAAAATATGCAGAACACCATCTAGTAACTGAAAGGACTCTATAGGACCCGGCACACTATGTTCCACCATACCAATGAGTATGTCAAAAAGAGATTCCTCTAGGGTAGTGGTTCCCAACCTTTTTTTTGACCAGGGGCCACTCTGCCACATTAGTATCAAAAGCGTTGTTTTATTTATTTATTTATTTATTTATTATTCGAACTTATATGCTGCCACTCCCCTGGGGCTCGGAGCAGCTTACAAGAATGGCTAAAATCTAACACAATTTAAAAACAATTTAAAACAATTTAAAAACAGCAATATCAAAAATCAAAGGCCTTATGAATAAGTTTTTGGTCAACTTTAAATTCGGTTTGGTTATTTGGGGTGCTGATTCAGAAAATTGCAGGTGCCACATAGAATGACTCCATTCAGGGGAAGGAAGGAGGAGGAGAAGCAGCAGTCAGGAGGCTTGTTGTCTTGCCTCTCATGGGTAGTCAGCCTCTCCTCTCCTGACATCCTCGTTGCCTCGGCACTATAGGAGGATTTTGTGAGACCAGTCACACTCATTGCAACGGTGTAGTAACAGCGAGGGTGCAGATCATATTTTAGTTCTTGGAGACCACTAGTGGTCCATAGACCACAGGTTGGGAACCACTGCTCTAGTGCTCCTTACAAAAGCAGATGTAGTTTTATGAATAGCCAGAGATAGACAACTTGTGACCTTCCAGGTGATTTTGTACTCTTGCTCTTTCATGCTCTAGTCAGAATATTTGTTAAGGGAGGTTACAGTGCTAAAGCAGCTAGAAGGTTGTAATAGGCAATTCTGAAAAATCCTTCAGTCAAGGAAGAATTTATTCCATTTCACATGCCATCCATCCACTAAGCTTATGTGGAAAAGCCGAAGCCTTCCTAGGTAAAGTATATAAACCACAGCAGTGAATGCTCCCTGCACAATTAGCAGTTATGAAAGCAAGCTATGTGCAAGAGCTAGTACCATATTTGTTCTTATTTTTTAGGTCATGTGGTAAACCTCAGTAGGCTACTCATGGTGGCCGGTACTAGAAGATATTTGGTGCTCAGCAAAAATGAAGGAACCTCAATATGAGAAACAGAAGACAAAAGATCAGCTCTACTGTATGAGAAAGATGGAATGAGATACCAATAGTCACTTTAAAAATCTGTTTGGCAAGCTTCTGACTCCTCATGACCTCATGGACTAGCCCATGCCAGAGCTCCCTGTCAGCCGTGGCCACCCCCAGCTTCTTCAGATTCAAGCCAGCCACTTCAAGGATACCATCCATCCATCTTGCCCTTGGTTGGCCCTTCTTCCTTTTCCCTTACATTTTCCCAAGCATCATCATCTTCTCCAAGCTTTTTCTGTCTTCTCATTATGTGGCCAAAGTACTTCATCTTTGCTTCTACTATCCTTCCCTCCAATGAGCAATCGGGCTTTATTTCCTGAAGTATGTACTGGTTAGATGTTCTCGTGGTCCAAGGCACTCTCAGAATTTTCCTCAACACCACAGTTTAAAAGCATCTATCTTCCTTTTCTCAGCCTTCCTTATGGTCCAGCTTTCCCATAGTAACGTATGGTTACTATAGTAACCTATAGTAACCATAGGTTATTATGGGGAATACCATTGCTTTGCAGAAACACATTATCAAACCTTTATAATTCATCAAAGTCTCAAACTGAAATAAATAATCTCTATGAAGATTCAGGAATCTTTTTTTATAGACCCATTGTCCTATGCAAAAAAATGCCTTTAGCTTGAGGATGATATCAAATTCAAGATGAATGAAATGGCCTACAACGATTGACATAACTGGGACAATGCAATACTTCAACTAATCTGGTGCATGGAGCATCTATGGAGCTTCATACAAGTAATTGTATGTTATTTTCCCACACCTCCTTCATCTCATCCATTCACACTTTGAACTGTAGATATTCGGTGCTTGATAGATAATGTAGTTAGTCATTGAGGTAATACCAATCCAGTGTGTTATGTGGATTTTTGTTTTCTAGTACTCTACAAAGCAACAAGGGCCCTAGAATTGTTTGGATGCAACTGCTTTATTTACATCCATAAAGGTATATGTGCTTCCCATGGACACTAGTGAGGTATAGGATGCTCAGATGCAAAAGAGCTTTGAATAGAACAGAGGTATTAAACTCATTTTCATGAAGGGTCACATCAACCTTAGGGTTGCCTTTCAAGGGTCATTGAATCCATGAACAGAGAATCCATGAATACAGAAGGATAACTATAATTTATGTACATAGGTCAGTGTACTTTAGTTTTTCCAGTTGGTATCCCCAGATGTTGATTGAATGACAACTCACATCACTTGTTTATTTGCCATGAGACCTATGGATAATGGCAATTGCAACCCAATGACACTTGTGGCATTGAGCATGGGGATAGGTGAAAGGACATTTTAACATCAACCATCATATCCACAAGCCTTGCATTTAAATTCAAACTCTATTATCTTGAATAAACAGAACAGATGTATCTTAACTCCCATTTGCTCTAGTCATGATGTCTAATGATGAGGTATATGTGAGTTGTCTTCTAGTATCTAGGAGGACCACATAAAATGACATGGAGGGTTGTATTCAATCTGTAGGCCTTGCATTTGACACGTGCCATAGAACATGGTGTGTTGTTGTTTATTCTGACTCTTCATGACCTCACAGACTAGCCCACACCAGAGCTCCCTGTCAGCCATGGCCATGCCCAGCTCCTTCAAGGTCATGCCAGTCACTTCAAGGATACCATCCATCCATCTTGCCCTTGGTGTCCTCATTTGTGCAGCATGTTTTTGGGATAAGTAATTTTTTGAGGAAAAAATATACTGAGATGGTAGGGGGAAGGGAATCTCTCAAACTCTCCCACAATTGGGAGAAATACTTTTGGGATTTTTTTTGTTCTTGCTTAGTATTATATAATTTTGAAGGGGAAGGGATTGATTGCTTAAGCAGGATTCTGACTAAGTCCCGATCCTAACCTTCCTGTACACTTCCTTCTTCTGCCTGCCCTTCCTCTTATTCTGCTTATGCTAATATAATATTGCAGGGATTGTTAGTATTTGCTGGGTTTGGTACCGAGAACTCCATGGGTACCAAAATCCATAGGTGTTCAGGCCTCATTGTATACAATGGCATAGTAAAAGGGCATCCCTTATATAAAATAGGAAAATCGAGGTTTGGGGATTCTAAAGAATATTTTCTAGCCATGGATAATGACATTCTATAAAAATAAAACAGTAGAAAATAATTCTTTACTTATTTTAAACTAAATATATGCCTCTACTCCACCGTGTGTAGCTAGAAATGGATGAGCTGATCTGGTTTTCAATCTATGCTGCTATAGGAGGTGTTCACTTATATGGCCATTTCCTACTGTTTCTCCTTTTAAACTGTATTTTTAAACAGTCTTCATAAAAACTTGTATTTTGAACATCCTTTATGTGAAAATATACATGCTCCAATGCATGTTGATGCATGTAAGATCAGGAATTCTATTGCAACATTCAGAAAAGTACCAGATCTGGTAAAGAGCCCTGTTCAGATCCAGAGAACAGTCTTCAGTGTTTTTCAACCTCTGGGCCCCCAGATGTTTTGGCTTTCAACTCCCAGAAATCCTAACAGCTGGTAAACTGGCTGGGATTTCTGGGAGTTGTAGGCCACAACACCTGGGGACCCACAGGTTGAGAACCATTGGTAGAAGATCAGTTTGGTGTTGGAGTCTGCAGAGACTATAGTTATCCAGTGCAGCTTTATTTTTATTTTGTATCTGAATTTTTTTAGCAGTTAATATGTGGAAGGATCTACTTATATAATGAGTACACACCAGTTTTCCAGTTACTCAGCTTTACTTAAGATAACATGTATAAATAGATATCAAATTTAAGTCCTCTGGGAAGTATTCCCTGCTTCATCCAAAGGAGCCCTCCTCCCCACACCAAGAAATCACTAATTGTATTGTACTTTTAAAAATGATCTTAACTTCTGACTGTTTTGAAAACCAATCTTGGTTGAAAAAAGCAGATTCCATATGCATATTACTGCTAACAAAACATCTTGTTGGTGAAAAAGGGGAGGGAATTCTCCCAACACTACCTAGTGCTGAGGACCGTCAAGAAAAGTACTGGAATAGTCACCCTATGCTGCAGCTGGGAAGAGATAATCAATGAAAAGAATAACTTCCATCCCCTTCCATGAACAGCACTTTCTACTTCATCTTCTATTCTTTGCAAAAGAGATATTCTGAATCCAAGATTTTAGTTAACATACACTATACTGCAAAGACTAATTTATTGTAAAAATTATGTCTTGAATTGTATCTTGACCACCTTATTTCTGACTTGTGCAACGTTAGAGGTGATAAAAATATAGCCTGTTCATTTTGTATTCAAGAGGACACTACACAGTGTTTTCCTGGTTTGTTCTTGGTGAACATGACCAAAATGTGAACTACTTAAGTTACCTTTTGTCAAAGGAGATAATAGTGTTAGGAACATCAGAATATTGTCCTTTTCAGTATACTGTATGATCTGTAGTATAACGGAATGAGCTCTATATTGTTGCTTGCTACTGCTGTAATAATTGTACTTGTCACATGGAAAAAATGTGATTACAACATTTTAATTAAGAAGTTTTTTTACAATGAAAAACTTTTTCCATTTCTGTTTAGATTTCATTTGCATTTATGTTAACTTCTATTTTCAAAAAATCAACGTATGCTGGTACAGTTCAATACTTTGCAACCCTGGCTTTTGGTATTCTGGGCCTGACTGTTGTCTTGGCAGAAGATTTCCCAAAGTCCTTTGTGTGGTCGCTTAGCCCACTGTGTGAATGCATATTTTTAGTTGGCGTTGCACAGGTTAGTAAAATATATTATTTTCTTGCTACTATGAAATATACAACAGGTGGTGAATCTGTGCTGTTCTAGGTATTGAACTCCAGTTTCCATAGAGCAGTGGTTCTCAACTTGTGGGTCCCCAGGTGTTTTGGCTTTAAACTCCCAGAAATCCTAACAACTGGTAAACTGGCTGGGATTTCTGGGAGTTGTAGGACAAAACACCTGGGGACACACAGGTTGAGAACCACTGCCATAGACCCTTGCCAGTGATTAAGAATTGTGGGAATCTGGGTTCAGTAACATCTGGATATATAACCTCATGCACTGTATAAATAGCAACACCATTGTATTTCAAATACCATGATGTTAATTTTTTTCATCCATTTTCTATTACAAATGTTTCTCCTAAAACAGTGGTTCACAATCTGTGGGTCCCCAGATGTTTTGGCCTTCAATTCCCAGAAATCCTAACAACTGGTAAACTGGCTGGGATTTCTGGGAGTTGTAGGCCAAAACACCTGGGGACCCACAAGTTGAGAACCACTGTCCTACAAGTTTATGGTGCCTCCAGCATAAAACTGTGACTTCTTTGTCAGTAAAATAGTCCAACTTTCCAATTTCTTAGCTTGGAGTACAAATCGTAATTGCTTATGGTTACCATTAATGTGAGCCTCTGAATGTTTCCTGTACCTGAGGTACTGATTCATGTTACCTGCAGAACAATGTCTATTTCCCACTTTCAGACTTTTGCAGGCATTTTAAAACCCAGAATAAAACTGGATCCTTTGGACACTCCAGGCTCATGCCTCACCATGAAATATTATGTGGTTGTGTATATTGGCCTTGGCTTGTCACAATATTTTTCTGAATTTTGGTAGTGGAAATGTGTGGTTATCAATACAATTTGGGTGTGGTATATTATGAATAAATGTGTTATTAACTGCATGATTCCAGGACAGAATACTTTGAATTATTTTGTTGCTGAATAAAAAAAATATCTAAATCTGTAGTCACTGAAGCAAACCAAATACAAGCATTCTTGAAGGCTTTCATGGCTGGAATCTCTGTGTTGCTGTCTGTTTTCCGGGCTGTATGGCCATGTTCCAGAAGCATTCTCTCCTGATATTTCACCCACATCTATGGCAGGCATCTTCAGAGATGAGACCTCACCTCTGAGGATGTCTGCCCTAGATGTGGGTGAAATGTCAGGAGAGAATGCTTCTGGAACATGGCCATACAGCCCAGAAAACTCAAAGCAACCCAAATACAAACAGATAACCTTTTAAAGCAGCCAAGAAACTAAGAAGGCAGAGGATTAACTGTGGCTTTTCCATCTGAACAGGATATGCAATAGTTCTGTAGCAGTAAGTCTGCTTCATGCACTGAAATGTTGTCAGATTTTCAGATGCTCCTTCTCTTTCGTGGTGTCTAAAACTTCCTCATTTGTTCACAGGTTATGCATCTGAAAGATTATGAAAATGGAGCTGTTTTCTCCAATTTAACTCTTGGCCCGTATCCACTCCTTATTGTTTTTACCCTATTGGCCCTTGATAGCATACTTTACCTACTCTTGGGAGTTTATTTGGATCAAGTGCTGCCAGGTACGTTTCTTAGGTTTCAGAAAAAAATACAGCAGAATTGAACAATATTGGGGGCCAGATTCAGTAACCAGTCAATAGCATCTTGTGGAACAAAATCGAGGCTAAACAAGGTGTGGTGAGCTCAGTGTATTTGAGTGTGATGTGTACTGTGAGTTATGTTTTCAAAGTTCTGCTAGCTATTTGGGTCCGTCAACATGAGTAACCATCCACCCATCTTTTTATATCTATCCCACCTTTCTCCCAGACTTAGGATTCAAGGCAAATTATCAAAAATAACAATAAACAGTATTACTATGTGTAATCAAAACATCAAAATTAAGATGAAAACAGTATTAAATGTCAACAGAATTATATCATTTAAAAATATTACTGTAAGACAAAGCTTTAAAAATGCAACACCTTTTCATGTTAAAAATCAATTTCAAAAGGCATGTTTGAAGAGAAATGTCTTGGCGTGCTTTTTCCCCCCCATATGAGGAGCGACTTGAGAAAATGCATGTCGCTTCTGGTGTGAGAGAATTGGCCATCTACAAGGACATTGTGATCTTTTGATATTTTATCATCTTTGTGGGAGGCATCTCTCATGTCCCCACATGAGGAGCTGGAACTGACAGAGGGAGCTCATTTGCGCTCTCCCCGGATTTGAACTCTGGCTTGTTGTTCTTTAGTCCTGCCGGCACATGAGTTTAACCCATTGTGCCACTGGGGGCTCCTTCCTGGCTTGCTGTAAAAAAAATAAACAAAGAAGTTTCTGTCCTTGCATCCTATTATGCTCAATATGCCATTAAACCCAGAAATCACAAATGGAAGTAACTTCAGGTTGTAGTTTTCAGCTAGTTTTGCAGTTTAAGATGAAGTGCTGCAGTCCGACAAGGAGGTAAAATTAAAGTTTACTTTGCAACCTAAAAATCAATAAATCAAATTTGCAAAGCAATATAATAATGATAATCTTACTCTCCTCTCTTCAAGGCTTGAAGCAATTATAAAATATAATATAATAGGAAACCTACTCCGCTGAACAGAGCCAGTATGTTGTTTTGAGATGATTTTAAACAGCTGATTTTAAAGTAGATATAAATTATTTTAATGTTTGTGTATATTTATAGTTCTATGTCCTGGCATTGAATGTTTGCCATCTATATGTTGTGCTCCGCCTTGAATCCCCTGTGGTGTGAGAAGGGCGGAATATAAATGTTTTAAATAAATAAATAAATAATAAAACACAATAGATAAAAACCAAAGGGTTTAAAACATATAAAGACACATAGACATAAGATTAAAACACATTAAATCATTAAAAGCAATAAAATGGCAATTAAAATGAGAGTTTAAAATTGACATGTACACTGTGATATTTAATATTTTAAAACTCTTTTGGGGGTGTGTGAATTTTATTGCCTAGGGGAATATGGATTGCGACGAAGCTTTTTTTACTTCCTCAAGCCATCGTTTTGGTTAAAACGAACAAGAAATTATAAAGAATTATGTGAGAGCAGCATTGGCGGGAGCGTGGATGTCAATGAGATCATTGAACCTGTATCTCCTGAATTTCAGGGAAAGGAAGCTATAAGGTATGACTGATAATGCCGTGGCTTAATCTCAACTGCTGCTGTTAGATATTGTTAATTGTCTTGTAAGAGCTGTAATAACTGTTAAACTTTAGTACTCAAGTACTGCACTAAATAACTTATCAGTTTAATTATGCTCATAAATTTTTGCTACACTCCTGCAATATTATGTGTGTTCTGTCTCGATATATATTTAAACTTAGTATACTTAAGGTAAAGGTAAAGGTTTCCCCTTGACATTAAGTCTAGTCTTGTCCAACTCTGGGGGGTGACGCTCATCTCCATTTCTAAGCCAAAGAGCTGGCGTTGTATGTAGACACCTCCAAAGCCATGTGGCCGGCATGACTTCATGGAGTGTCATTACCTTCCTGCCAGAACCCTGCTAGGTTGGCAGAAGCTGGGGCTAACAGCAGGAGCTTACCCTGCTCTCCTGATTCGAACCGCCAACTTTTGGTCAGCAAGTTCAGCAGCTCAGTGGTTTAACCCGCTGCGCAGCCACTTACAAATCAAATAATTTCAGGCTTGTACAGCATCACTAGTAGTCAATGCAGGCACAGTCATTTTGTTGTATCTTCTAGGGCTTTGTGTAAACCTAGTGTTACCGACCATATGTATTTGTTGCCAGCTTTGAGGCCTGGGGCTATATAAAGTACAGAATGTAACCTAGTGTAACTTATAAACCAGAGTCTATAAGATACAGTACAGTAAGCCAGGTGTACTAGGATGTGTATATGCATCAGAGATAACTTGGCTTCAACTTTATGCTCAAACATAAAAAAGAAAGATTAAGTATCACTTGAAACTATGAATATTAACAGATGTGACTTGTAATAGGTGAGATAGGATTCCTTGATGGATAGATGATGGTGGCTGAATAACTGAACTACTTTGTTTAAGGTGCTAATGTATTCATATACGCATTGACTATTAACTAAGTCTGTAAAAAATAAAAAGAGATCGAGGTTCAGTCCTTACAAAAGTCCTTATGAAAATGTTAAAATCTTGATGGTCGCATGATATAATGTAAGTACTGTGTGGTGTCTTATATGCCATATAATGTAATAAGATAAAAGTAAGCACACAGGCATTCACATGTCTGCTTCCACCTAAGAATAATACATTCAGTTTTATAACTGTGAATATATATAATACTCATAGTTAGTAATGGACAAACAACAATAAAGTGATCTGTAGTATTCAGAAATGAATTGTTAGTTTTTTATAACATTTGTCCTATGTTCTGAAGCCCAGTCTCTATTTGAGACATACCATATTTACTTGAGTATAAGCCGAGTTTTTCAGCCTTTTTTAGGCTTATGTTCGAGTCCAAATTATCATCATCATCATAATCATATTTATTATTTTACTCTATTTCTTATTATTATTACATTTACATTATTTTACTCTATTATTATTTTATTACATTTATTATTTTACTCTATTATTACTGTTATTTTTACATTTCAATGATTTTACTCTATTATATTTTTATTACATTTATTATTGCACTCTCTGTATTATTATTGGAAGGATACGTAAGCACATTTTCAAAAACATTTAACCAGATGCCTCAATTAATGTAATTTTATTGGTATCTATTTTTATTTTGGAATTTACCAGTAGCTGCTGCATTTTCCTTATACTCGATGGCCTGATTTCGAGTCAATACATTTCCCCAGTTTTTTGTAGTTAAATTAGGTGCCTCGGCTTATATTCGGGTCGGCTTATACTCAAGTATATAAGGTATGTTTTACCAGGGTATGGAAAAAATATTTTTTTCATATATTCAGAAAAAAACATTTTGGATGAGTTAACCGCACCCATTTGGAGTATGGAGAGGAAATCTCTTTTTTTTCACTGCAGTATTATTTATATTATTATACAGTTATAAATATGTGGTTACTGTATACCATTTTCCTTTTATTTGCCTGTGGAAATTTTGTGTGTGTAAGGTATCAATATATAAAAAATAAAAATAGTTTGTCTTCTTTCAGGATCAGCTGTGTGCAGAAATCTTTTGTCAAAAAAGGCGAAACTGTCGAGGCTCTGAAAAGTAAGAACTAGTATGTTTCCATCTCCATTTGACTAGTATGAGTCTTTACACTTTAGATGCTGCTAATTCATTGCACGCTGGCAAGAGAAGTAATAGCGCAGCATTTTCTCCTAACCTTCACCTGTTTAGCAGGAAGTGGATGGAGATCTAATGGTAGTTTTTTTGTGTTATTTCCATCCCTCAGGTATTTAACCAATTCAAAAAATAGAATTCTATACCTCTGATTAGTTGTCAACTGCTTATTTTTCACTCTCTGTGATTATTTTGCTGTTACTTACTACCGGATTTTGCTGTTACTACCGGATTGTTACCAACTGGAAGAGGAGTAGGAGGAGGATTGTTTTAAATGGTAAAAATTAATAACAAACCACCCCTGTCTTAAAAACAGCTTTAGGATGTCTACTTATACCTCCTCTCTACACTCCAATTAAAGTATATCAGTGCTGATTAGGGAAAATGTATGACTGGGTAACTGAATACAGACACATGATTGCACATCCATCAATAATACAGGTTGTCCCCAAAATGTATATACATTGTAAAAGTTGATAAATTAATTTAAATTCCCCCTCCCACCCACCCTCAGGTGTTTTATTTATTTATTGTGTCAGAAGCAAGTTGAGAGTACAGTTATATTTTAAAACACAAACAATGTTAAAGACTTGGCATTATACTAAATGTCCTTGGACCAGAAGCAGACCACTTGGAGTGCCTCTGGTGTCATTGTGAGAAGATCCTCCACTGTGCATGTGGCAGGGCACAGACTGTATTGTAGTAAGTGGTCTGTGGTTTGCTCTTCTCCACACTTGCAATTTGTGGACTCTACTTTGTAGCCCCATTTCTGAAGACTGGCTCTGCACCTCATGTTGCCAGAGCGCAGTCTATTCAGTGCCTTCCAAGTCACCCTGTGTTCTGTGTACCCAGGAGGGAGTCCCTCATCTGGTATCACCCACTGATTGAGGTTCTGGGTTTTAGCCTGTCACTTTTGCACTTTCATTTGCTGAGGTATTCCTGCGAGTATCTCTGTAGAACTTAGAAAACTATTTCTTGATTTAAGACTTTGGCGTGCTGGCTGATATCCAAATGGGATGGACTGGAGATGTCAGTGCCTTGGTCCTTTCACTATTGGTTTCTACTTCCTGACGAATGTCAGGTGGTTCAATACTGGCTAAATAGTATAATTTCTCCATTAGCATGGGGCATAGACATCCTGTGATAACATCCAGCCCCCAGGTTAAACCCATTTGAATTAATAATGTAAATTTGTAAAATAATGTAAAATAATTAATAACTGTAAATTTGAAAATGTAAGTGAAATGCAAAGACAGTTTAGGAGGGAGTTTCAAAGAGATCCACTAACACAAAATACATTTTGAAGTGCTGTCATTGGAAAGTTATATTTCAAGGTTATTTCATGCTATTTATGAAGATGATCCAGATTGAAGAGTAGAGTATTACGAGTGGTACTTAGCATGATGTGTAGAGGAGGCACACTTTCCAACAAAGATTGTGTGGAGTGATGAGGCAACATTCAAATTACATGGTTCAACTCAACTCTTGACAGTGCTTCAACATGTTTCGGACAGACTTTTTTGAGATACTTACCTCACGATTCGGTTGTCTCACAGATTTTCTTGGGTCTCAGTGATACGTTTCTAGTCCTCTTTCTTCCTTTGTGGGGCTTGTTGATGTCCGTAGTCTTTCAGAACATTTCTCATAGACATCGATTGGATTCAAACTTATCTCTAAGGGCTCTTTTAGACAGCAACAAATCACGGGTTTTAGTGAGGAGCAAAAAATTCTGGGACTTCAAGAGAGGTCCACATACAGAATTGTTTGTCATGGGATTTCTGCCTCCGCTGTCCAGATTTGATGCTTTGTTCTGAGATTTAGTTTCCCAAGATTGCTGCTGCAGGACTTCTGCCAGAAACTGACTTTTTAAAAAAAAAAAAGAATTCTCAAGATGTGGATATGTGGAGATTTGGATATGCAGATCACCGCAAAAAGTTCAGTTCTTTGTCCTGGCCAGAAAAATGTGCCCTCCAGAAGTTTCATGAAATATCTCCCACACAAACAAACCTCATGAGGAAGGACCACTTCTGCCCAAGTCCACACTGCACAATCAAACAGAAGCACACACTTTCAAGCCAGGAACAGAATTTTGCGGTTATTGACTGATTTTAGAGCCTGGCTGCCTGGCCATTTGTCTAGACAGATTTGATTGTTTACTTGTGGCATCAAACAACAAGTTGCTACTTCTGAGTTATACATGGCTGTTCCTGATTGCTCTTCTTGTGAAAAGATGTACAACATTGACTAGGAAGCCACAACTTTGTCCTGACCAGAGAAAACGTGACCTCCACACGTTTCATGAAGTTTCTGGCACACAAAGTTTTTGCCTTCTACTCATGAGTTATCTTTTTTTTAGGAACCGACCAACCAGGAACAAACATATAAAACTCAAGAACAAACCCAGATAAAAAAATCCTGTGATTTCTAATTGCAGGGACATACAGATATGCAAGGATCCGCATATACGGCTCAAAACCACGATATTCCTGCATCTGGAAATCTCACACTTTTTTTCCTTTTGTAGTGATTGCTTCTGCATTTACAGGGAATGGTGTCTGGCCACTCTCCTGTTTTCTGTGGAAGCTCCTGGGATAAAGGTACTGTCTGGTACTGAGTTGCATTGGTGGATCTCTTTGAAACTCCCTCCTAAACTGTCTTTGCACTTCAACAACATTTTCAGTAGCATTTTAAAATGAATTTCCTTTGTCCAAAGCTTAGTCTGGTTTCCATTATTAATTCCAATTGGTTTAACTTGGAAAAAATCAATTAAGCTATCAGCTTTTAAAGTGTGTATACATTTTTGGGACACCCTGTATATGCATGCCTCAAGAGTCTCCTTAGAATGCATGCAAAGCTTCGGGTGACTAGATAAATTGGCCTTGTAACTAGAGCTCTCAAAATCAAGTAAACTCCCTCTTTTAATGTCAACTTTCTAAAATAATTATTTCTCACATAATGACTTCATTCTTTTGTTAGGTCTCTCCTTTAACATATATGAAGGTCAGATCACAGCCTTGCTTGGACATAGTGGAACAGGAAAAACGACATTAATGAGCATCCTGTGTGGATTGTGCCCACCTTCTGACGGTAAACACCATTGGAACATGTTTGTTATGATATCTGTGGCCTTCTTTTTTCTTTTTGGTCTCAATTTTTTTGTCTTGAAAACTATTAATGGGATTTATAGAAATTACAAGTGGAATTATTTGACCTCCAGACAGCCAACCTCCTGCTGCACTCTCAGTTTTGCTATTAGCCAAGCCAGTGATGTTTGTGTGATGTCAGGGGTGCAAAACTCCTTATTTTTCAATAGCAACTGTTTGTCTATGCAATAAATCAAGTTCATATGCAGTCTGGTATTTCTACATGTAACTATTTGTCAGTAAATCTGGATAAGCGCACAACTCCTTTGTGGCGCCAGCTCCACTGGCTGTTAATTAGCTTCCGAGCACAGTTCAGAGTGCTGGTTTTGACCTACAAAACCCTATACGGTTCCAGCCTGGTTTACCTGTCCGAACGCATTCTCTCCTATGAACCATCAAGACTATTAAGATCTTCTGGCAGGGCCCTGCTCTCATTCCCGCCATTTTCGCAATCGTGTCTGGCGGGAACGAGTGACAGGGCCTTTTCTGTGGTGGCCCCTTGGCTATGGAACTCTCTCCCGATTGAGATCAGATCTTCCCCCTCTCTCCTGTCCTTCAGGAGGCTGGTGAAATCCTGGCTATGAAAGGAAGCATTCCCAGAGTAATGGTTGAGACCGGCTACAGAACAAAGTTATCGACCACACATATGGACTGACTTGGACATGATTTTGTCTTGGCAATTTGGCTTATTTGTAATTTTAATCTATATGTATTTTAACTTGTTGTTGTTGTATGATGTTTTTAGGCTGTATTATTAGCATTGAATCCTTGCTGTGAGTCTGAGTCCCTCTATGGAGGTTAGAGAAGATCGGGATATAAAAGTTTTAAATAAATAAATAAATGTTCTGTGCGGGTAGCTATTTGACTGGCACTCTCCTCTCTCCCTATTTTCTCATGCATTAGGATTTGCAATGATATATGGATGCAAAGTTTCTGAAATAGATGAAATGCTGGAGATGAGAAAGATAATAGGAGTTTGCCAGCAATTAGATGTATATTTTGATGTGTTAACGGTTCAAGAGAATTTATCAATTATTGCCTCAATTAAAGGCATACCTCCCAATGATATGATACAAGAGGTGAGCAGATCAAATGAAGAGTATATATACTGCATATATCGATTTTGATTGAATCTTCTTGTTTCTAATTTATTCTGGTATTCCAGGCTACTGAAAATGAACACTGAAAATAATCATGTTGAAATACATTCATGGTCTATGTATATTGACTGATTTGCTTCACCTCCTTGTCTTTTTCTGTCTCTTTACCTCCTTCTCTATCACAAGGCATTTTGATTTGATTGTCCTGTGGTAAGGGGGGGAGAGATAAAAAGGTATGAAGAAAAATAGCAAAGGGGGGATATATTTCCACCTATAACTTAATCTTTTTTTTAAAAAAAAAAATCATCTCAGGTCCCCTAAATGGAGGCTAAAACAACAACAGTATGTGAGGAGAACATTCTAAGTAGTGGCTGTAATTTATTGCCAAAATTCCCTCTTTTTTGTAATTTTGCATTATGTCTTTTTGAAATACCACTGAATACTTTTGTGCTTATCTTATTAGGTCCAAAAAGTTTTACTAGATTTGGACATGCAAAACATTAAAGATAACCAGGCTTCAAAACTTAGTGGAGGACAGAAAAGAAAACTGGCAGTTGGATTTGCAGTCCTTGGAGATCCAAAGGTAAGGTCTGTTAGGACTGAGTGAACATACTCTTAGTTGCAACTGAGCTGCTGAGAAGTCCATCATTAGGCTCATACTAAGCCAATAACCCCACACTATTGGGTTTGTTATAAACTAGTCATTTACTTTCATTTTCTCTCAAGCTCTCAATCTTATCTCTGTTTATAAGTAGGTTGGCTATGGGTCCAGAGCTAGCATGTACCTGTTTTTCTAATGTACTAGTATCTAATACCTATATGTTACAGCTTCAAGAACTCAAGTTGTGCAAATGGAACTCTGAAAATTGGCATAGCTATTAACAACATAGAAGAAGATGAGATAGAGGTAGCATCTGTGAGAAGGGCAGAAATCGGCCTATTTCTCAATGAATATTTTCTGGAGGTGAATAGAAATAAACTATGCCTGGAACTTTGGGGAAAGTGGCTTAAGGCCATTTTCCAAGACAGTTTTCCAAAAATGTCTTGGGTCCAAGGATATCTCTCTCCAAAATCAAGACATTTGGAAATATGCAGCTGCTACCTCCCATGACCACACTGGGGTATGCAACCCATTAAATATAACCAAGAACAGGTGGATGGTAACATTGTACATGTTACAACAGCTGTGAAGACAGAAGAAGGCTGCAACAGATGAGAAGCCACCAGTCGTTGAGTTAACCATGCCACTGGATGGAAACTTCATTCTGTGAAGATTGTGTGTTGATTGGGTGTGCACTGACCTACACACATTAAACACATTCACACACAGACAAAAGTGATATAGCCCATTATTATTATTACTCCTAGATGAAGCAACTGCTGATGTGGGTCCATGCTCTTGACATACTCACTGAACAAAGAGTGCTGACTGACTTCTAGAGTATGCACCTGTGAAGAAGACCGTTTTAATGCCACCGAATGCCACCAATTTGTGAAGAAGCGTGGTTAAAGCTTACTGCCACCTAATCTGTGAGGAAAGCTGGGCAACAATCAATATCAGCTTAGGAGCTATTTTATAAAGGGACTATTAATTACAGAAGGCTTTATTCATTTGATAGCGTAGCGTTTACTGTCCCTGGCTGACTTTACTTCTTATGCAGGCTGTTTGTCTTAAGAGAAACGGTATCAGGCAAGGCTTGAGAAAAACAGTAACAAGTTTATTTTAACAGGAGTATAACATGTTTAACTGTTTCTTCACAAGAGGCACAAATCTTGATTGGTTACATTAGTAAGGTTTCATGAGTAATCTCAGGCACAGACTTCAAGACGTTTCTATAAGCAGATGTAACTCTTCTGGACAACTATCCTAAATAAAACAAATAAGCTTATTAACAGAATCAAACATCAAGGGATGTTTGATTCTTAACTCAGAATCAATAACCCCCTGTAGTTTTATCACTACCGGGTCCTTTTCTGTAACCCCTTTGGTCACCAATTAATTCCCTGAATCTCCACCCAGAGATTCAGTCTTCCCTATAGCACACCAGCTACAGACACATTCCCTGAATCTCCACCCAGAGACTCAGTCTTCCCAGTAGCTCACTGGCTTACTGACTGACTTTCAAAACAGCTGCCCCGTGAAGAGGCAGTTGGCTCCGCCCCTGTTGCTATGGCAACTCAGCTAATGCCAAGCCACCATCTCCAACAAAACATAATCCCCCATACTTACCATCCATAAACCACTGTTCAAATTACACATAACCAAAGGAGTAAAATTTACACATCGTCACAGCACCAAACTTCCAATGAACTGCTCATCCTTAAAATGTGCCTCCCCCATTTTAATGTCACCAAACTTTGGATTTTCCTTGAAACTGTTAATGCCTGCCTCTTGCATTTGCAGTGTTCTCACTTCATAAGAAATGGCACATAGCTTTGGGATCATTTCAATCCATATTTTTAAATCATGGTGAAACCTTCATGTGTTTAAGCCTGCACTACTAATAATCCCATAATCAAGGGATGTTTGTGTGCTTACAAAAAAAACCTGGTCTTATGTTTTCTTTTCCTTGGCTAATATGTAGGTATTACTCTTGGATGAACCAACGGCTGGCATGGATCCATGCTCTCGACATACAGTTTGGAACCTCCTGAGAAACAGAAAAGCCAATCGAGTTACAGTGTTCAGTACCCATTTCATGGACGAAGCAGACATTATTGCAGGCAAGTTCAGTTAGGAACTTACCTGCTAAATGTACCATAGTCGTAGTTAGCATGACACTTGGGAGGTATAGACCTCTTGAAGTTCTCTTACATTGTATATTTTATAACAGGAGTGGGAATTATGCTGCCTCTAGATGTTGTTGGATTACAGATTCCTGCAATCTTAGCTAGCGTACCCCATGGTGACGCTTGTTGGAAGTTGCAATCCAAGGTCTGAAAGGCTTCATTATTTCTTTTCCTATTACACAACTAGAATGATTAAAAGTGTCTTTCCTTCTGCTGTTTCTAGATCGGAAAGCTGTGATTTCCCAAGGAATGCTGAAATGTCTTGGCTCCTCTCTCTTCCTTAAGACAAAATGGGGGATTGGTTACCGATTGAGGTACCTATTAGTAATCTGCAGGATTATGTTATTATATGTTATGATGCCCAAAATCTCATAAAAGTGTGACCAACATCTAGGTGGATACTGTTGAATAATTCAGATCTGATTTCATATTTCTTAATAATGACTAATATTTTATCTACTGATACCAATGAATATGTCTGTATATACAAAATACTATGTAATCACCCTGCCCACTTCCCCCAGCCTCTTTTTTATTTATTTTATTTATTTTTTTGCGGTGGAATGCAAGCAGAGCAGGAGGCATTTATAAGGAAAGTTTACTTTGTGTTGTTGAAGACTTTCATGGCTGGAATCACTGGGTTGCTGTGAATTTTCTGGGCTGTATGGCCATGTTCTAGAAGCATTCTCTCCTGACATTTCACCCACATCTTTGGCAGGCATCCTCAGAGGTTGAGGGGTGTCCTGGAAACTAAGCAAGTGAGGTTTATATATCTGTGGAATGTCCAGGGTGGGAGAAAGAACTCTTGTCTGTTTGAAGCAAGTGTAAATGCTGCAACTGGCTACCTTGATTAGCATTGAACGACCCTACAGCCTCAAAGCCTGGCTGCCTCCTATCCAGAGGCATCCCCCACAGAGAGGAGTTACCTGGCCCTGACTGCCTCATCTCTGGAATTCCCCTGTTCCTCGAATGCTGCTCTTCGTCCATTGTCCTGATTTTGGCAGCCAGATCCCATTCATTTTCATGGTTTCCTCCCTTCTGCTGAAATTGTCCACATGCCCTTGGACTTCAATGGGCTTTCTGTGCAGTCTGACACATTTCATCTCTGCAGGAGCCATACAGCTCTAGACAGGTCTATGTAGGGACCACCAAATGCAGTGCCCAAACACAAATTGGGGAACATGAAAGGCATTGCAGAGTGGTTCAGTCAGAGAGGTTGGCCGTGGCAGAGCACCTGGTGAACCAATCTGGACACAGCATATTATTTGGGAGTGCACAAAGGCTGGACCACTCTGGCAGCTGCCGTGTTGGACTGGACAGAGAGGCTGTTGAAGTCCACGGAGGTGGTCAGGCTCGGCTAGCACCTCTAAGTGGGGGATGTCTCTGAGCAGGAGGCAGCCAGGCTTTGACGCTGCAGGGCCATTTAGTGTTAATCAAGGTGGCCAATTGTAGCATTCACACTTGCCTCCAACAGGCAAGAGTTCTTTCTCCCACCCTGGACATTCCACAGATATATAAACCCCACTTGCCTAGTTTCCAGCACACCCCTCAACCTCTGAGGATGCCTGCCATAGATGTGGGCAAAACGTCAGGAGATAATGCTTCTGGAACATGGCCAAACAGCCTGAAAAACTCACAGCAACCCAAATTTTACTTGGCTAATTTAAAACCTTGATGGTCTTGCCAACAATAATGGCTACACCCTTGTATTTTTGTCTGTCCCCCTCTTAGTATGCACATAGACAGGTATTGCAACACCGAAGGCACAGCCTCTTTGATCAGGCAGCACATTCCTGAAGCCAGCTTGTTAAAACAGAATGAAGAGCAGCTTGTATATGCCTTACCTTTCAAAGACATGGACAAGTTTTCAGGTACAGGTCATCTTTCCATTCAGTAGTGAAATGTGGGGAGCAGATGAAGAAAGTGATCACACCAAATAAAGATACAATTGAAGAAAACTCAAAGAGGAACAAGTTCAGCTGAGCAGTCTTTGATTTCATCCTTGTAATATGGAACGGGGGAAATAGTGGTTATTTTAAAAGTAATGTATATGCAATTAATCTTCTTTAAACTAAGTAGCTTAAAGAAATAAGGTAACATTTCAGAGCAATGTAATGAATGGTATTTCCATTTGTTTATATCGCCAATTGCTGTTTTTGCTAATGATGCTCTTTTAAAAATAATTGCTTTTATTGTCAACATTTAATACTGTTACTTTTTCTGATAGCACTATTTGCTGATCTAGATGGTCATTCCCATTTGGGTGTTATTTCTTATGGAGTTTCCATGACAACCTTGGAGGATGTGTTTCTCAAGTTGGAAGTTAAAGCTGAAATTGACCAAGCGGGTGAGAAGCCACTATGCAACCTTATAATGTTTTTAATAATAATAATAATAATAATAATAATAATAATAATAATAATAATAATAATGTAGTATGATCACAATGGAAAGGTTAAATATAATCATATTTCACTGTGCTTTAATTTTTAAAACTAATTTGTCATTTGGGAATAATGAAGAAGACCGCATTCTTATGAAGTGTTTAGACTGTAGATAATTAAGATTGCAATCGTAATCATAAATAACTCTTAATACACTCAGTAGGAAGTTGGTTTTGTAAAGATTTATATTCTCTGAGTGTGCATGGTAGAGGTGTGGGAGTCTTAAGTTCGCTTTCCTTAGTGTGCCAAAATTATTTTTGTTACCTATTTTAATTACGGTTTAAAATACGTAATTATGGAGCCCCAGGTGGCGCAATAGGTTAAACGCTTGTGCCGGCAAGACTGAAGGCCGACAGGTCGAAGGTTTGAATACAGGGAGAGTGAGGATAAGCTCCCTCTGTCAGCTCCAGCTCTCCATGCGGGGGGACATGAGAGAAGCCTCCCACAGGATGGTAAAACATCAAAACATCTGGGTATCCCCTGGGCAACATCCTTGCAGACAGCCAATTCTCTCACACCAGAAGCAACTTGCAGTTTCTCAAGTCGCTCCTGACATGGAAAAAAAAATTATGGTGACTGCAACTTTTCTTTCTTCTCTGTAGTTACAGTTAAGGCAAAAGAATATATGAAGGTTGTAATCTTCATATATCAGGTTTCTTCCAGGTTGGAACATATATGCCTGAAATGTCATCTGGACATCTCAGGCTGATCTGTTTCCTTATCCACATTATGTGGTTTTGTAGATGAAGCTATTAGAAAGAACTTTATCTTCATACTGAATACACACACGGAGATGAATTTGCATTCCTGGCATACCTTCTGTCCACAAAAAGCATATGACAGAATGCTGTTCCCCTTTGGTGCAATTTATAAGTTTTTTTAGCCATCTTCACCACAACGTGCCAATTGTTACACCAAACTGCAATGCCATCTGGCTTGCCAGGCAGCAGTCACTTGACACTCTCAAACATGACCAATTACTACTCTTCCACTAAAAATATAAAAGTGTGGAAACTTTTTGAAGAACCCTCATATATTTCTAACTATATTCTAAACAATATAATTTACATTCTGTCCTTCTATGTGGATAGATGTGTAGTGTTTGTATGTTAATGGCTATTGCAATAAACCCGCAAACTGAGGGTTATAGAACAATGATCTGTTACGAAAGGGATCATATGTAACTGCCTACTGTCTTTCTCAGATTTTGGTGTTTTTGATGCTGAGCAAACTGAAGAGGAAGCGGATGGAAAATCTGTTAATGAGGTAGAGCAAAGCCTGCTCATGTTATCTGAGACGAAAGCTTCTACTCTAAACACTAAGGAACTTTGGAAAAAACAAGCCTTCCAGATAGCAAAGGTTCATTTTCTTAGCCTCAAACGTGACACTAAATCATTGGCTGAAATGTAAGTATTGCTAGTGTTTTTGTGTGTGCAGTGCTCAGAATGTCAAGTGTTACTTATGTGCCTTTAGGTCAGGCAAAAAAGGGTGGTCTGGTGCCTCAAAGTGCTTCAGATTTTGCCTCATATATTTGACCAAATATCAGTATTTGGTCAAATCAGTATCATATATTTGACCAAATACCTTCTGGATCTGTGTGTTTCAAATCCATGATATCTACCAAACACTGGCCATGCTGTCCTATGCATAAAATGGCTGGGCATGGCATCCTATGTAAACTAAGGCTCATGGGCCAAATATGTTCTTCCAAGGTCATTTACCCAGCCCTCCCCCTAAAGTTTAGACTTAGGATTGCCCTCAGTCCGAAACAACTTGAAGGCACAGAACAACAACAATCCTAATTAACTTGACTATCTCATTAGCCAAAAGCAGACCCACACTTCCCATTGAAATACTGGTAAGTCTAGGTTGGTTGAATTTGGTTTTGTTAAATATTGTATTGTTTTTTATTTTATTTTTTGCACTACAAATAAGATATGTGTAATGTGCAAAGGAATTTGTTTGTGTTTTGTTTTTTCAAACTATAGTCCAGCCCCCTCCGTCCAGCCCCCAACAGTCTGAGGGATCATGAACCATCCCTCTGCATAAAAAGTTTGAGGACCCCTGTGCTAAAGTATTCCCATGCATATTGCTGCTATTCAGCAATATGGGATGTGATCACTTTTGGGGGCATCTGCAGGGGGTCCCAGAATAACGGTTTCCCCTTGTCATTAAGTCTAGTCATGTCCAACTCTGGGGGGTGGTGTTCATCTCCATTTCTAAGCTGAAGAGCTGGTGTTGTCCATAGGTGCCTCTTAGGTCATGTGGCTGGCATGTCTGCAGGGAGCACCGTTACCTTCCCCCCGAAGCGATACCCATTCATCTACTTACATTTGTATGTTTTTGAACTACTAAGTTGGCAGAAGCTGAGGCTAACAATGGGAACTCTCTCCGCTTCCCGGATTTGAACTGCCAGCCTTCTGGTCAGCAAGTTCTGCAGTTTAGCTGTTTAACCTGCAGCCCCTAGTAATAAATAAATACCCACCCACCCCAAATCTAAAATCTGTGCAATCATAATACATGACACTATTTAGGCCCTACCTCCAAATAATGTGTGGTGCATCTTTTAAGTAATTTATCACATCCTAACTTTGAGGGGAGGTTGCAGTGAGGGTGTGGTGATTTGCAGTCTGCTTATAAAGTGAAACATTCAAAAGTATAAAGCCTGTTAAAAGTAAAGTGTGTTGATGTGTACTGGATAGACAACATGAATGAAAACTTGGCAAAAGTGCTTTTACCTCAGAATAATTTTTCCTCAAATTGTATTAATCTCAACAGCCCCCTCCCCAATATAAAAATGATGATTCTTTATTGAATAGTCAATTTTGACCATATCAAAACATGCAAAACATACAAAACATACACATTTGCCCATACATACTGTAAAACCATATATGAATACAAGGCATCCCGGCCTACTGGCCTGTTGACCCACTCCTAAATGATTGTGCAACTACAAGATAAAAAGATTAAAAGATTAAAAATTGATTAATTCCTTAAAGTAGGGATTGGGCAGGGGCTCGGGTAGGTAAAACTAGTGGCATATCCATATTAAGTTTTTAAGTTTGAATTTTGTTGGTGGCAGCAAGGTCACCTCTCTCTGCTTCCATCTTCTCACGGATGGCCAGCGCTTTTTGTGTAAAGAGGGTCAATTTTAAAATAGAGTTTTTATTTTAGGAGGATGTGCAGTTTTTTTAACCAGTATAAAAAATAAGGTTTTTCTCCCTTTTATTCTTAATTATTGCAATTGCTATAGAGGGACGTGCACTCCTGCCTATGTTCTATGCTGGTTTGTAACTCTTTCATAGTTAGTATCAGCCTCTCTCTATATATTTCCCTTCTGTGGAACAGTGCATCTCTTTCACATCCTTTTTTAATGATGGAGGTTCTAATGCAAGAGAGTACATTCAGAATAACATAGTACCAAATAGTTGTCTTAAGAAGAATGGACAGCATTTGGCCCTCCAGATGTTGTTGGGCTGCAACTCCTATCCTAACTTACATAGCCCATAGTGAGGGATTATGGGGGTTGCAGTACAAACTATCCGGAAGAACACAGGTGACCATTATTGCTTTATGAGAAGAACAATATGTGTATTGTTGAAGGCTTTCATGGCTGGAATCACTGGGTTGTTGTACGTTTTTGGGCTGTATGGCCATGCTCCAGAGGCATTCTCTTCTGATATTTCACCTGCATCTATGGCAGGCATCCTCGGAGGTTGTGAGGACCTCACAACTTCTGAGGATGCCTGCCATAGATGCAGGTGAAACATCAGGAGATAATGCCTCTGGAGCATGGTCATACAGCCTGAAAAATTTACTACAACCCAGAACAATATGTATTTCACACCAGAAGCAACTTGCAGTTTCTCAAGTTGCTCCTGGCACGGGGAAAAAAAGCTTTTAAATTTGTTACAAAAGATAAGTGTTTCTAGGAAGGAAAACATTTGTTAACCCTCTTTTTTCCTTTTCAGATGCTTGTTTTTTATAGTATTTCTGATTATAGAGATGAATATTTTTAATATGTATCACCGGCACTACTTCAAAAATGCTGTCAAACTGTCTCCAGACCTTTACTTCCTTAAACCGAATGAAGATCGCCACAAGTACAAAACCAGCCTCCTTGTTCAAAATGTCACAGGTAAGAAGTGGAAAACAAAAATTACAGAATTGAATTTTAGTTGATCTACTTTCATGAATGTTCCCTCTTTTTCATGTTTTAATAAGGTGATGAAACGGAAAGCATACTTGCAGTATCCACTGCATAATTCTAGCAGTATAATTCTACTTTAATTACTATTTATTTATTTACTTACTTACTTACTTACTTATATACCGCTGTTCTCAGCCTGGAGGCGACTCACAGCGGTTCACAACACACAAGAAACAGCAAAATTCAATGCATCAATATAAAAAACAGTTAACCATCTAATCTAATACACAGTTAGTCCACAATTACTATAATAACCATTCATTGACGTCTCATCACTAAAAACACGATCCAGATTCGTCATCCATTGTTCCATTGCTATGTCATTACCAATCATTGCACTAATTATTCAAACGCCTGCACAAATAACCAGGTCTTTACTTTTTTGTGGAATACCATTAGAGATGGTGCTAGTCTAATGTCCGTGGGAAGGGCGTTCCACAGCCAGGGAGCCACCACCGAGAAGGCCCTATCTATGTTTGCATCTTTTGGAACTGGGATATATAATTTGGTTGGGCACTGTTATTGTTATTATTATTATTTAACAACAACAACAACTTAATTTTATACTCCGCCGGAGGGACTCAGGGCGGCTTACATGGGCACAATCCCAAAAAACATGATTAAAAATATAACACATTAAAAAATAAAAACAACAGCATAACACAGAATAAAACAACATTACAACAGAATATAAGAGCAACCATCAAACCAACAACCAATGAACCTGTAACAATAAACAGTTTCTTTATTTACTTTTATCCCAGTTGGGCCCTGGAGCTCTCTGGCTGGGGATTCTAAAGCCCTCTCTCTCCACTGCCAGTCCCAAGATTCCATAGGATGTTGCCATGGCAGTTAAAGTGGAATCATAATGCTATAATTGAGCAGTGTGACAGGACCCTAGGTTTACGAATGTTCAGTATAAACTCAAGTGGGGATAATGTATCTCACTGTTGTTGGGACTGCAGCTTCTAATAGCTGGCATGGCAAAGGGAGCTAGCATAGTCAATAGTATGTAATGCTAGGGGTTGCAGTCCAACAACATTTGAAGAACTTCATGATTCCCCTCCTACCTGCAATAAGAGGCTCATAGCTGATATAAGATAACATATTCATGCTTTCATTTTGGTGAATCACAAATTGAATCAGAGAGTATGTTTGTCATGAGTGAAGACTTTTGATTCATGTGCAGCATTCACAGTTTTGATTTCTAAATAAATAATGGCCATAAAATACATAGGTACAGTGGAACCTCCACAATCGCTAGGATTGGAGACCTTGGTTTAGGAAAAAATACAACCCTTTTTATTGAATGATGAATATAAAATAGATTGAAGTCCAAAGGTAAAAAAAGCCAAAATGAAACAGCAATGTCCAGAAAGCTTGCAGAAAATCCAAAGCAGTAATGTCCAGAAAACTCTCAACAGAAATCCACGAACAGATTAGCTCTGCAAATATCATTTGAAGCCAGAAATTCCCTTAGAGACCAGACCACTGGAAACTGGAAAACCCAGGAGGTTTGTACTTGATACTAAACGATGCTTGATCTGAGGAAATCCCCCTCACAGACACTCTTAAATCCCAAAAACTGATCCCGGCTAACTCTAATTTTTGGTTTCAGTTGTCAGATTCTTTCGGACCTACATAAACATTGAGCCTCCCTGCGGTTCTGGCCCATCTCCAAGTTGTGGCTGTTATCATTGACCCGACCAGGTGTCAAGTTATCTTGCAAGCTCAGGCCAGGAGGAAAAGGGAGTAAATTTTCTTCTCTAGGTCTGACAGAACTTTCTCATGAGAACTTGGCTTTTCCCTTGAAGCCTCTAAATCAAAGCCTGTGGGATTTTTACTGACCAAAGTGTCTCCATCTTGAGCCTCATTCTCATTGATCACTTCAGCCTCACTATCCAAACTAAGCCCATCAACATTAATGTCAACATTAACATCAACATTACCATCAACATTACCATCAACATTACCATCAGCATTAGGCAATACAATCAAACATTCAGGCAGGTTTACACACAGGCTGAGTCCCAACAAGGACCACTGCAAAAGTGGAAAAATCACCAAAAAAACCCTCTTCTATTTTTCCTAAGAGAACCCTGTTTATGTCCTTCAGCATGTATGTACGGTTAACTTCCACTGGAAGTGTGCTGGAGGACTTACAAATGCCTAGATACTGCTCTCTCTGGGAATTTCTAGACCTTCTAGCACTTCTCTGCAATCAACTTCCTTCTAGAGTTGCGCTGGAAAACTTAGAGATTCCTACAAGGAATATAATAATCAAATCCACAAAAGTATAAGCCAACCTGAATATAATCCGAGGCACCTAATTTTACCACAAAAAACTGGGAAAACTTATTGACTTGAGTATGAGACAAGAGTGGGAAATGCAGCAGCTACTGGTAAATTTCAAAAATAAAATAGATACCAATAATAAAATTACATTAATTGAGGCATCAGTAGGTTAAATGTTTTTGAATATTTAATATTTTGAATATTAAAACTGTAATTTAACATAAGACTGTCTAACTCTGATTACCTACATACTCGAGCATAAGCTGACCTGAATATAAGCTGACCAGAATATAAGCTGACCAGGACCCTCACTCAAGTATAAGCCGAGGGAGGCTTTTTCAGCCTTAAAAAGGGCTGAAAAACTTGACTTATACTCAAGTATATATGGTAAGCCCGCAAATATAGAGAGCTGCCCAGAAAACTGCTTTGCAATTATAATGAATATATTTGATATGTATGTGCACATACATAACACACCTGGTGTGTATATGTAGATCCTCAGTGCCCAGAACAAATCTATTATTCAGCATGAATATCTGTCTAGAACTGCCTGACTAAGTGGTAAAAGGGAAGGCTTGTGCAGACACTCATGTTCAAATGGGAGTCAAGGGTCTTTGGGGCTGTAGTACATGAATTTTCTCTCCCCCCCCCCCCTTTCTTTGTCTTTCCTCAGACATTGATGATATCCTCAACACCCTTAGGAATCAGAATATTCAGACAGAAGAGTTCAATGGTAGCAATTATGTGTCAGTTGCTCCCCACAATGCAGCATTAAACATCTCTCATTCAGGCAAGGTGAGGAGAAAGGCGGATTGTATTAACTGCTGGTCCAGGGGATGGGTAATAAATTGTAATTTTATATTAAATCTGGTGAGGATTTAAAAAAAAACAACCTAATTTTAATTGTTTTTAAAACACTTAATGCAAGCTGTGTTGAGTCCTGGGTTGCTGTAAGTTGTTCGGGCTGTATGGCTATGTTCCAGAAGCATTCTCTCCTGACATTTCACCTGCATCTATGGCAGGCATCCTCAGAGGTGGTGAGGTTTGACAGACCTCATACCTCTGAGGATGCCTACATAGATGCAGGCAAAACGTCAGGAGATAATGCCTCTGGAACATGGCCATACAGCCCGAACAACTTACAGCAACCCAGTGATTCCAGCCATGAAAGCCTTCAACAATACATTGTGTTGAGTCCCTTTCAGAGGCGGCCCTAGGTAATTTTCAACGGTAAGCAAACAGTATTTTGGTGCCCCCCCCAACCAATCACTGATATATATTTTCTGTTCGTCGTGGCAGTTCTGTGTGCCATATTTGGTTCAATTCCATCATTGGTGGAGTTCAGAATGCTCTTTGATTGTAGGTGAACTATACATCCCAGTAACTACAACTCGCATATGTCAAGGTCTATTTTCCCCCAAGAGCGCCTCAAGAGCGCCCCTGGGCAAAATCAACTATACTGCAAATGCTTACTTTGCGTAATGGGTTGAGCCGCCTCTGGTCCCTTTTTTGGAGAAAGGTGAGATAGCAATCAAATCAATCAATCTGTGATCTTTGTCAGCAAGAGCAGGTGATGAATTATTACTCCTAGTTGTAAAATTCTGTGAGGAGCAGGGTAATACATGATATTAATAATAATTCTTTAGGAGCAGGCTAGATTCCTTTCCTTTCCTTTCTTTTCTTCAGTATTTTCATGGTGACAGAGAAAGTGAAATCAGAGCTCATTTGGTGTATATCCACCATTTTCTGGGCTTGACTCTAGTGTTTTTCCATTTCTGCTAGTGAGAAAGTGCTAACAAAGGTATGTTTTGACACTTGACATTTGGAACTATTATATTAAATATCTGTGTGTTTTTTTCCCCCAGAGCTACATCTTTACTGCTGCTTTTAACTGCACCATGGAGCATTCTTTATCTGTTATGATAAATATTATTAGCAACCTATATCTGCACAGTTTAAATGTAACGGAAAACATCCATGTCTGGAGTAGTTCTTTCTTTGCTGTAAGTAAAGACAAATTCTCAAGGCTGGTACTGTTAAGTAAAGGGACATATGTTTAGGAGGGAAACAATTTTGTACACAATTGGTTGTGTTTGCACACAGTCAAACATAGAAATGTAAATAAATATATACAAATGAGATCAAAGTAGATATTTATGCAAAGCAGGGTCATGTATTACCCAGCAGACGTGTTTTGTGAAGCTACGCAGACAACAGAAACAAGACCATTAGGTCACTGACTGCATTAGAAACATATTTCACTGCAATCTTTTTTCTCTTAATATCTATTACTTTGCAGAGAATTACTGATCGATTTTTTGTGGTATCGCTGATTTTTCAAGGTGTCAGTATAGCAGTCATCATAGCTGGAATGCCATCTCTTTATGCCATGGAGAATGCAGAAAATCACAGGGTAAATTTATATAATAAAGCATATTTTTGAAAAGAAGCACACCACATCCCATAGACTGACTGACACAATGTTTTATCTAGCAACCATGTTTCAGGTAGAACTCTACTGGTTATCTAATGGCCATCATGTCTGAGATCATGCATTTAGGCCTACAGATAATTTCTAGTTCCAGTGAAAAAGTAGTGTTGTCATCATTGTTGGTTTACTAGATGTTAAAGGTAAAGGTAAAGGTTTTCCCCTGACATTAAGTCCAGTCGTGTCTGACTCTGGGGGTTGGTGCTCATCTCCATTTCTAAGACGAAGAGCCGGCATTGTCCATAGACACCCCCAAGGTCATGTGGCTAGCATGACTGCATGGAATGTCATTACATTGCTGCCGGAGCAGTACCTATTGATCACATTTGCATGTTTTCAAACTGCTAGGTTGGCAGAAGCTATGGCTAACAGCGGGAGTTCATGCCACACCCCAGATTCAAACCTGCGACCTTTCAGTCTGCAAGTTCAGCAGCTCAGCTCTTTAACCCACTGCACCACAGGAGATGTTACATCTAGGATTTCAAGCACATTTCAGGACCAATTTTCAAGCAAATAAAACTGAGTCAGAGGGCCCTTGGTAGACATTGGGCCCTTTGATTCCAGGTCACCATCTCACCTCAGTGGATTCCAAAATCCATGCATGCTCCAGTGCCATATACAGTGGTGTAGTGAAATAGTGTCCCATTAATAAAAATGGCGAATGACTCTAACAGTTGCCAGAGAAAGTATGAGGATCCATGAAATGGCAGGAGTTTACAGCATGGCAAACCCTTGTGCTGACAGGACTGCTGACAGACAGGTCAGCAGTTCGAATCTGGGGAGAGTGGGTTGAGCTCCCTCTGTCAGCTCCAGCTCCCCATGTGGAGTCATGAGAGAAGCCTCCCACAGGGATAGCAAAACATCAAAACATTCGGGCGTCCCCTGGGCAACGTCCTTGCAGGTGGCCAATTCTCTCACACCAGAAGCGACTTGCAGTATCTCAAGTTGCACCTGACACACACACACACACACAAAACAGCATGGCATACCAACACATCAGAGTAGTGCTCAGTGCAAAGCAAAATCAAGGTTTGCTTTTTTGGTATTTTTGAGGCAATGTGTGGTTGAATCTGTGGATGCAGAATCTGTGGGCACAAAAGCACTAAGATTGATAAAAAATTGGGAATAGATACTGTGTATTCAACATTTCGTGGTGACACTTGTTGAACTATATACTGACTTTTTGTATGTCCTTTTTCAAGGGAAATTGATATTGATGTAGACAGGTAGCTCATCATTGTGGGTCCCAATAGGAACCCATAAGAATGTAGAGGGTTTAGCTCTGTGTACTACAAGAGAGCTGGCATGAAGTAGTGATATGAACATTGGCCTATGAATTTGGGAGACTTCAGTCTTGAATCCCCTCTCAGCCATGAAACCCACTGGGTGTCCATGAGCAAGTCACACCCTCTGACTCTGAGAGGAAAGGAAAGGCAAATTCCTCGCTAAGATTGTTACTTCTAGCAGAAGACCATGACAAGACAATTTTCTGTGTTGAAAATGTTATTGTTAGATTTGTTTCCATTCTCCATAACTATTACCAAGTTTTAATTTATTATTACTACTTTTATTATTATTTGCAGATCAAAGCCTACACGCAACTTAAGATATCGGGCCTTTATCCATCTGCCTACTGGTGTGGACATGCCTTAATTGACTTTCCTTTATACTATAGTTTTCTTCTTCTTATGCTCGGAATCTTGTATATTGTTCATCGTGATTTTAATTTTTTATCAGTAGAGTTTCTTGCTGTGGTAAGTTATTTTTTCATTTCCGTCCCTTGTTCTGTGTATTGGCTTAAATCAAGTAACAAAATCCAAATTCTCCAACTGTCTCTATTTTGGGTATTTGTCTCTGGTAAGGGATGGCTGCAGTTTCATTCTTATTTTCTTTTGTAAGTTTTTATCATTGTCATTCTTTTTAAATAAGCCCCATCCATAGAAATTAGTTATCCAAGTGTGTGGGTGGGTACTTGTTTGTAGTGCATATAGCAATCAATAGATGAAGACTGATATATTTTTATTCATTTGCTTTTTTTGGGGAGAGGGGAAGAACAACCTAGTAGTCAATGTGGGGGCATCCTTATTTAAAATATCAACATGGAATATTTCATTTTATTTGGCAACGTAGTATGTGGAAAGGCAGGCTGTGCCCTCACTGTGTTGTCGAAGGCTTTCATGGGTTGTTGTAGGTTTTTTCGGGCTATATGGTCATGGTCTAGAGGCATTCTCTCCTGACGTTTCGCCTGCATCTATGGCAAGCATCCTCAGAGGTAGTGAGGTCTGTTGGAACTAGGAAAAAGGGTTTATATATCTGTGGACTTTCATGACTGAAATCACTGGGTATTCACTGTGAGTTTTCCGGGCTGTATGGCCATGTTCCAGAAGCATTCTCTCTTAATGTTACTCCCACATCTATGGCAAGCATCCTCAGGTTGAAGGGTCTGTTGGAAACTAGGCAAGTGAGACTTATCTGCAGATATATAAATAAAGTAAATAAATAGCAACACTTGGAAAGCAGGGGAATTCCAGACTAGAATCAACCAGGGCCAGCAAACACCTCCAAACAAAGGATTCCCCCAGGCAGCAACCAGTCAGGCTTTGAAGCTTCCAGGCCATAAATGCTAATTAAGGTGGCCAGGTGCAACATTCACACCCGCCTCAAACAGACAAGAGTTCTTTCTTCCCCCCTGGACATTCCACAGATATATAAACTCCACTTTGCCAAGTCTCCAACAAACCTCACAACCTCTGAGGATGCTTGCCATAGATGTGGGAGAAACGTCAGGAGATAATGTTTCTGGAACATGGAAAACTCACAGCAATCCAGTGATTCTAGCCATGAAAGCCTTCAGCAACACAGTGAGGTCACAGTCTAACTTTTCACATACTATGTTGCCAAATAAAATGAGACATTACACTAAAGCTCCTTCTAAACTGCCCTTATATTGCAGGATCCGATCACAGATTGCTTATCCCATATGATCTGGCAGTGGAGACCCATATAATCTAGTTTATACTGAATGGCTTTCACAGTGTTCAACCTGGTAGCAACTTCCCATTGCACATCGCGGGGGGGGGGGGTAGCTTATTTTTAAAGGGCTGAATGCTGGGCAGGGAGGGGAGGCTGGTATTACTATCCCTCTTCCCCAGGCTGCCTGAGCCTAGGTAGGAGGGACGGTTGCGGGGACTGCCTGCTTGGATTAGAACGGATATTCTAGGAGACAATCCCCACTGCCCCAATACCTGCAAAAGGTCCAGGTTTCTCAATAAGATCCAGACCTGTTCCGATATCTCTTAAGCTTGGAATAAATTACTTGGATGATCAGGTTTATTCCAGGATTAATCCATTTCCTATCCCATATTTTGTGACTGTATAGATGAGGTCTTTGTTAGGAACAACAACAAAAAAACTGCAATAGGTTATTGTGATGGATTAAGAAACATTCTCAAACTGAAAGGACAAAAATGTGTGTAAGCTTTCACTATCTCGCAAAACTAGGCAAAATGTTACAAAAAGCACAGGGAGGGAGAGGGGGTGAAAAACAGACGACAATATAGAAATCCTGTTCTGTTTAACAAATGTAGCTTTTCTCTCTCTCACTCTCTCTAGGGTGTTTCCTTTATCGGCTATGTGCCGTCAGTAATTCTGTTCCATTATATTGTTTCTTTTACCTTCAAAACCATACAAAACACTCAAGAATTTTGGTCTTTCATTTTTTCAGCGGTAAGTAATCAATTTGTTTTTCATGTTTACTTGCATTTGTGCAATTTTTTTGTTTCTTATTACAGAATATTATATTATTTATATTTTTATGCATTTGAGTCGAGGCCCAATCCTGAGCACAACATTTTTTTCTAAGCATCTCACATCATTGTGTTTTAGGAATCCCACCAATGTGTGTGTGGGAACAGTCCAGTACACAGCGACATGGGAATAGTCCTTGTCTATCGTGGATTGCCATTCCTTTTGAAGTCTGGTTGATTCAATATTGGCATGTTTTCAGCATCAAAAACATCATTCTTCACTAAAGAAAATGGAAAGCTATTGATGATAGATTGTCTGGAAGATGGATTTCTGTCTTGATGTATACTTCGTAATGCTAGTCTAAATTATTATAAGCACTAAAACATCTGTCTAGGCGTGCTGCATTAGACCAAGTAGAAACCCACTGAATTAATCCACTACAAGTCAGGTGTAATAATTAATAATTAACTGTTCTCTATATGCCTAAATTTGTATTTCTTCATTGATTACACAGCCCAGAAAAAGTAAAATAAAATCTTGGTGTCTTAGATTTTATGTCTGTTCATGGGGTTTTATGGGGTGCTGATTCAGAAAATTGTATTGGATGGGCCAAATCAAACTACAAGAAAGGAGATTCAATCTGAACGTTAGGAACATTAGGAAGAACTTCCTGAGAGTGAGAGCTGTTCAGCAGTGGAACTCTCTGCCCCGGAGTGTGGTGGAGACTCCTTCTTTAGAAGCTTTTAAGCAGAAGCTGGATGGCCATCTGTCGGGGGTGCTTTGAATGCAATTTTACTGCTTCTTGGAAGGGAGTTGGACTGGATGGCCCATGAAGTCTCTTCCAACTCTACGATTCTATGATTCTATGAAATCAGCTCTAATTTCTTAGATATGGTTGTCATGATTGTTTATGGGTGAGTAGATGAAGACTGGCATATGTCATATGTTCTGTATTTCAAACATTAGAGCTGATGGGGAGAAATTGGTGCAGTTTTTTGAATCAGCAGGACAGATATATCCAGAAACAGGTCTAACATTTGAGGCACCAAATGTGTATTATATATTATTAATCTGTCTACAGATGTTCACCTTAACTCATTCTTTATAGACAACAAAGAATTGTTGACTGTTAGAGCACACTCATTGGATCAATGAAACTTCATTTTTGATTCATCAGTTTCCGATGGACTCCGTGGATCTCATTTAGTGGGATTGGTTTGACTTGTACTTTAAATAAACTGTACTGGATTAGTTTTTCATTTACCAATGTAAATAAAATTCTCGGATATTTAAGCTAGGTATCTAAGCCATTCTGAAGTTTTAGTTTAGGGGTGGTTTTCTTGTTCGTTTTTGTAATTTGTTTATTTTTTTTACTCTTTCAGGTATCTTCAATTTGCTTTCTTGTTACTCATGTGGCTTTTCTTTATTGGTATTCAACAGCGGTTATAATTCACATTTGCTTTTGTGTATTGATTCCAATCTACCCTCTTACTGGGTGTCTGAACTCTCTTCTCCAGGCAAGTGAACTGAATTATTGACATTTCCTCCTTGTAGCCCCATGAATGTGATGCACAAGGAAAAGCAATATATTTGATTTAATTGGGGAAGAATCATAGCATGGCTTAGACAGTCGTTGGGCTCTAGGGGTCAGCTGTTTTGCTTGGAACTGGTACATACTAACTTACTTTGTACTGAATCCAGATGTGAAACATATAAAACATGGAAACAAATGTCTGCAGGTGTTTTGCCCTACAACTCCCAGAAACCCCAGCCAGTTTACCAGCTGTTAGGATTTCTGGGAGTTGAAGGCCAAAACATCTGGGGACCCACAGGTTGAGAACCACTGCTGTAGGAGAAATATGACTCTCAGGTAACTATAACATGGGCTCTACTTGGCAAATTTTGTTCAGAGGGGACTTGCCCCTGCCTTCTTCAAAGGTTAAGAGAGTATGACTTGGGCTTCAGTGGTCAATTTGGGTTTGAACCCTGATCTCAGAGTCCTAGTCCAATCATCAAAAGGCCTCATCACACTAGCCATCCAGCCAATTACATTGATGTCCTAAGAATTGCAGCTGACCTATAATTCATAGATTGTGTATCCACAGATTCAACCATCCATTGCTTGAAAATATTTACAAAGAAAAAAATCCCCCAAACAAATCTAAATTTTGCCATTTTGAATAAAGAATACCATTTTCCTACCTCATTGTATAAAATGGGACTTGAGCATCCATGCATTTTGGTATCAATGGAGGCTCCTGGAACCAAACCCTAGTTGATACCAAAGTCCCACTATAGATTTCTTTGCCACTTTTCCATCATTACAGCTGAACCCAAAAAAGATAAAGATGTAGGCAGTTATCACTCCACAATGCATTTCCTGATGTGTCAAGAAAAACAGAACAACCTCAGAGATAATGTTGGAATCAGCCAGACTTTTCTGACTTCTGGGGCAGGGGAAATACACAATTTTCTGTGTTAGGCTTATTCCTGCACCGGAGAGAAGGAAATTCTCGAAATGTAATAAAAAAAATGTAAAAACATGTTTTTAAATTATAATTGTGTAACTTAATTTAAAATGACCTGTAAAAAAATCATTGGAATTCTTAAAGTAAATGTTTACTATCTTGTGTTAGGGATTCTACAAGCTTGGTCACAATAGAGAACAAAGTACAGAAATGTTATTGGCATCAGCAGTATCGGTAAGCAGAATATATCTTCTTCTGAATCTATGGCACTGGCTCATTGTATTGTGTATTACTTGTAAGCCGCTCTGAGTCCCCTTCGGGGATATATATAAATGTCATAAATAAATAAGATAAGATAAGATACACTTTGTCATGTAATGAAAGGTTGTTATTGTTTATATTAGACATGTTATTCATAATTGGCATGCATCTTGATAGTTTGCAAAAGAACGCTGCCAATTAATCTTGAGAACCTGTTGTGTTTCCTTACAAATACATTTGGCGAAATTGTTTTAACTCATCACCGCTTTTCATCCTTTCCTTTTAGCCTTATGTTCATTGTGTGATTTGGCTCTTTCTTCTGTGCTATCTTGAAGGGAAATATGGAGGCAAATCAATGAGACAGGATTCATTTTTCAGGTCAGTTTTTTTTTTGTATTGCCCTTCTAAAAGTCATGATTGAAGTGACTACATCAAGGCAGAATTGCCCAGCAATTCTGTAATATAAGACACATTGCACCTGGCTCTGCGGGACAGTTTAATCCAACAGCAAATATACACATATTGTGCATATTGTTGGAAAGGGTATCTTACCACATCACACAACATGCTAACATTTCTTTTTTTCACATTTCGGAACATCTTTGTGAAAATCCAGATGCAGGAATAATTATATGTTTTGCAAAGGACAATGTATTCTGTGGAAGATATTGGCAGTTTTGTGAAAAAATTGAATTTGCAAACAATTCTTCACAAAAAGTCCTAAAATTTAAAACAGTGAAAATGTGCAAAAACTCAAGCAATTTCTCCCAACAGGGAGGAAGGTATTTGCATGGGAATTACCGTAAATTATTTTAAATTCCTAGGCTTTGTCCATGACTGGGGGAAAGAAGGAGGATTAGATGTAATCAACTTTGCTAGTATGAGTTTTACCTACTCCTCGTCTGTTCAGTCTTCCCTTATCATCTGGCGCAATTGAAGAAAGGAGCATTGAAGTACTGCTCTTGCCTCCAGTTGTTCTTACTAGTTTTATGCAAAACCAGAAGGGAGAAAAGGAAAAGAACAACAGGGAGGGAGGGAGGGAGAGACCTATAGTTACTCTTTCAACAGTGGTGAGAGACTTCAGGAATCTCAGAACTTTGAAACCTTTGGAAGTTAGGTGCTTTCTGGTGGTGCACTTTGTATAAATGTACCTTGAATTCACTTGATAAACCAATTCTGTGACTTGAATTGCACTGGTTAGGCGATTGCCAATTTAGGCTGCTTCTACGTAGACACATAATCCAGATCAGCATGTGGATTAAAGAGATTCCATTCCACTTGGGAGAGTCTCCACACACACCCTGAGAACCATGAAAAAGCTCCTGAGGCATCCATAAAGCTACCCTCATGCCGAATCTATCCAACATGTTTTTTTTTCCTTACCCTGTTGGATGAAATGTACTGAAGTGAAACAGCCCATCTGATAGGAGTCAGCAATGGAGCTCATCATCTAACTCAAAAACAAAAGGGGAAAAGCTATTCCTCTTGAGGAGGGGAGGAAAAGGTGTGTGTTTACATTCCTGAAAGTGGCATATCCTGTCACTTTATCCAATTTTTCCAGGTAAGGTGCTATTTACACTAGTGCTGCACATGTTTCTCCCATACATACACTGATCAGCTGCAGCACACTGTCACCATTTTTGGACTTCCTTCTGATTTTCTCTTAACATGTGTTTTTTGTGTGAATGCGCATTGCAGTACACATTAGGGGTGTGTTTTTTCTAGCCAGCCCCCTATAATCCACATCGTTCTGGATTTCACAGCATGTGTAGATGAGGCCTTAGTTTTACAGGCAGAGTTTTCCACTGTTCTAGGTCTGGTTTTTTTTTTTAGTAGACAATGGTATTTCTTTTACTTGTATATGTTTACGAGCAGAGACCGAGCATACTTCTTTGTCTTCAGGACTCGCGGGAAACAGCGGCTATGGAAGTTCCAAGATGTGCCTTTGGACGAAGACAATGATGAAGATGTTGTGGCTGAGAGGCTGAGGGTTAAAAATATGGCAAGTTGTGAGAGTACTGAGGAGGTAATTTTCCTCTTTCCTCTACTGTAGTTAAAGTTAATACCTACCCACAAGTGATATTAGTACATACAAATGTTCGTTTATTCCCTATTTCAATATCTCCCCATTTTTTCCTTGTTACCTAGATCAGGGGTCCTCAAACTAAGGCCCGGGGGCCAGATATGGCCCTCCAAGGTCATTTACCTGGCCTTGCTCAGCACATAACAACAACAACAACAATCCCATCTCATCAGCCAAAAGCAGGCCCACACTTCCCATTCAAATACTAATAAGTTTATATTTGGTAAAAATTGTTCTTCATTTTAATTATTGTATTGTTTTTACATGTTTTTTGCACTACAAATATGATATGTGCAGTCTGCATAGGAATTCATTCATGCTTTCTTCAAATTATAATCCGGCCCTCCAACAGTTTTAAAGGATTGTGACCTGGCCCTCTGTTTAAAAAGTTCGAGGATCTCTGACCTAAATTGACCTTATTGTATTTCAGCAATTTTCCGCACGATAATATCTTGTTATATATTAAGTGTTCTTAATGCTTCCATCCCGCACAGAAACTCCGTATTTTATTTTCTTCCAAAGATTTACCCATGTCTTCCTGTCTCAATAGGAGGGAAAGGGACCATTGGTACAATGGCAAGTCCCCCAGGGTTCTAATAATAGGTTGATTTATGCTTCTGAGCATATAAATTACCGTTTCACATGTGTGTGACACCACGTTAAGTTAAAGATGAAAATATGAATGGTGAACTAAGCTTTACACAAAGAATACTAAATAGTTACTAATGTCACTGACTGATTAACACCAGAAATAGCTATTTCTCTGTGCGCACAAGTTTTTTCACAAGCAGGATCTATTCCACAGGGATCTTAAAACCTGGATGTTCCAGTATGTATTTGATGATGGTTAGGCCCCTGATAACGGCTGAGTGTTTCCTGTTGTTTTTCATAAATTTGGCTGTCACCTGGTATGGCGACATCAATAATCCAAACTTTTTTCTTTCCGACAATCACAGAAGCGGCAGAAATATGCTATGCCAGAAAACTGCACTATTATTATTATTATTATTATTATTATTATTATTATTATTATTATTATTATTATCCTCTAAACTGGAAAGAGGATAATCAATATTGCCCTGACTGATTGAGTCCAGGAATGTCTCTGGATTTTATAATCACACTAATTTTGTATTAGTAGTCCATAATCAAACCAATTCTGTATTAAGCTGTACTTTTTTATTCTCTTAGAAACCTGCAATTTTGGTCAGCAATTTACATAAAGAATATGATGAAAAGACAGATTTTCTTCTGGGGAAAAAAAGAAAGAAAGTGGCAGCAAATCATATCTCTCTTTGTGTGAAAAAAGGTTAGCTTTAGTTTCCATATCACTGGTCTTTTACAAAGTCAAATAATAATGAAACCTGCAGAATTGGTATGCTTCCTTTTTTCCTTTCAGGGGAAATCCTGGGAGTGCTAGGTCCCAATGGAGCTGGGAAAAGCACACTGATTAATATTCTGGCCGGAGAAGTGGAACCAACCTCAGGCCAGGTATCCAGCCTTTCTAACCCCTTTTCCTTTCACCTTTCCTCATTAACCACTATAGGAGTCATTGTCCAGAATAGATTTCATAGAATCAAAGAATAATCATAAGTCTAAGTTAACAGAACTAAAATATAATATTTTGAAGATGCTACTTCAAGGACTTTACACAGGACATGCAAAGACCTCACGCGGACAAAATAACGTTCTATGTTGGCACTTGTGAAAAGGTTTCTATCTGGGTTGTTGTAGGTTTTTTTTTTCTTTGGATTGTATGGCCATGTTCTAGAGGCATTCTCTCCTATCTCCTATCCTATTTCCCTTTACTCTATCTCTTTCATCACTTTATCTCTCAAACACAGAACAACAATGAATACAACGTGTATTTGGAAATGTGTTGATTTCTGGCCTTGCAATGTGCAAAGGAAGTCAGAAAGATAGAGAAAAGTGTATTAAGTAGCATATGAAAGTTATATAACTCCATTGATGTTAGCAAAACTGGATAGATCTCTTTGATGGGAGTGTTGGCGATGCAAAGAGCAGAGGGGTACGTTTTTTCATGTTTGGTGGTTGGTTTCAATTGTACAATAATTTTGGAAGAGTATTGTTAAGGAAACAAAATGATTACTAATAAGGTTAAGAAAAATCTAGGAATGGGATTATTTAGGGAGGGGGCTTGGTCAAGGTGATAAATTTGTCAATACAGTTTTGTCGCAGCCAGAATAATAATAGCTAAATCCTGGAAAGTTAAGATAAGAAAGATCAGACTGAAAAGCTTTTTGAATATATACAAATGCCCAAGCTGTCCATGCAGTCATGCCGGCCACATGACCTTGGAGCTGTCTACAGACAACACCAGCTCTTTGACTTAGAAATGGAGATGAGCACCACCCTCCAGAGTCGGACATGACTGGACTTAATGTCAAGGGAAACCTTTACCTTTACTAAGCTGTCTAATGGACTATGAGATAAAAAATAATGAAGAGTTTCCAAATAAGTGGAGGCTGGCATTTATATATTTTCAAAGAAAGGCAAAAGTGGATTTTAAGGTAGCTGCAAGAGGAATATATATGTGGATTTAATGGATTTACAAGGGTATGTACCAGCGGGCATAAGCATCACAGTGAGTTGTGACAGAAGACCTAGGTGGTGGAATCACGATCTTATTTCCCTTTTCTGCTTGGTTTTTGTTTGTACATATCATAATTGTTATAGGTATTTTATTTTTATATTTCAGTATGTATTTTTTTTCACCCTGTATGCTTTTTCTTTCACTCAATATATATATATATATATATAGAGAGAGAGAGAGAGAGAGAGAGAGCATCATGCGCACATTTGAAAAATACTCAAAAACATAACATGTATTTCTAAAAAGCTCACATTTACATGGCATGCATTTATTATGTACCCTATTGAAAATACATGCAAAAACATAAAGACTATTTTTTCTAGGGTGGGTTGGAAGAACTATAAGGAACTAACATGTTTTTGGAACTGGTAGAAGTCTCTCATTTCCATGTGTACACACAAAGGGAAGCTCACAAGGTTTTATTAGACAACAAATTCTCAGAGGTGGTTTTGACAGTTCTTTCCTGTGCCTATAACACTTGATACAAGTTGGAAGTTTCCCATCCAATGCTAACTATGGCTGACCCTGCTTGGCTTCCACGATCAGAGGGGATTCAGTGCCTTTAGGGTATATTTAGGCTCCTAATGATATACTCTTTAATTAAACATGATTTAGAAGTGTAAATCAGATTGTGGCCTTACAGCCAGTTAGCCATCCATATATTGTGATTTGCCATACTACATGAGAGGGCTATCTCAGACTGTTCCTGATTTTAAAAATTGCTAATTCCCCTGGTGGGGCAGCGGGTTAAACCACTTAGCTGAAAAACTTGCTGAATAAAAGGTTGGTGGTTCAAAACCAGTGAGTGGGGTGAGCTCCCGCTGTTAGCCCCAGCTTCTGCAAACCTAGCAATTCCAAAACATGCAAATGTGAGTAGATCAATAGGTACCACTCCAGCAGGAATGTAACAGTGCTCTATACAGCCATGCCAGCCCCATGACCTTGGAGGTGTCTATGGATAACGCCGGCTCTTTGGCTTAGAAATGGAGATGAGCACCATCACCCCAGAGTCGGATACAAGTGGACTTAATGTCAGGGGAAACCTTTACCTTTAATTCCTGAACTAATGTTTTTGTTCTTGTTTTAATTGACCTATTCATATGAGCCAGTTTAAGTGTTGTTAATAGCAATTGTCATATAAAATATTGAGTAAGGACTCATGTATCCACAGGTGCTGATAGATGATCATTCTGAGGCTGGAAATAACGACAATGATGCCATGAGATTTATGGGATACTGTCCACAAACAAACTCTCTATGGCCCAACATCACATTGCAAGAGCATTTTGAAATTTATGGTACCATTAAAGGAATAAGTGCCAGTGATATAGCTGAAGTAATAAAATGGTAAATATCCGATTTTAAGCACTCCATTTTCATTAGACATTTGTTCTTTTAATGTGATGTGAATTTCCTGGAAATGGTTGATAGTTTGAATCTTTTAAAATACAATGAAAAATTGTCTAAACCTATTTTCTAGTCTCAACTAGAATAGACCCATTAAATCAGTACAATTTGCATAAATGTTGATTTTCCATTTAGTGATTGAATCTGAGAGACTTCGCTAGGTGACCCAGCTCAAGGTAGGTGAGATTTCTATATAGCAGTGGCTCCCAACCCTTTTTTGACCAGGGCCCACTTTGACCAAGGCCCACTTGAATGGGGACCACTTTGACCAGGGACCACTCTCCAACATTAGTACCAAAAAGGGTGGGACTGGTTAGCTCTGAGGAAAGGAGTGGAAATAAAATAAATAAAACAATTAAATTAAGAGAAAGGAGGTTCGCAGACCAGATTTTCATTCTTGCAGCACACAACTGTGCTGCGGCCCACAGGTTGAGATCCACTGCTATATGGGGTGGGGAAATAGAAATTATGAAAATAAAATATGGAGCCGGTTCCTTTCTGTGCACATTGGTCTTAAAATAAAAGAATATATTAATTAGTTGTAAATCTACAACCGCATGACCTCTCTCCTTAGTGGATACCATTCATCTTGTATTATCTCCTAATAGGTAAATGACATGAGACTGAATTTAGGTATGGAAATGTGCATTTTTTTGTTAAAACATACAGCTATTTCAGGATGATCTCTTAGAATGCTTCCATATTTGACACTACAGTGACACAACTTTCAAGACAAGAAAAATATGTTATTTGCTTTTCTGCAGCATTTCCAATGCACTTGATCTTAAGGAACATCTGCAGCAAACCACAAAGAATCTTGGAGCAGGGATCAAACGAAAGGTATTATTATTATTATTATTATTATTATTATTATTATTATTATTATTCTACATTTATACCCCGCCCTTCTCACCCCAGTGGGGGATTCAGGGCGGCTTACCAAAGGAATGTTTCAGGAAGTGATATTGATAGCATGTGCAATGTTATGCATATTCACTTTTCCTTTTTTATTTCTTTATCCTTTAGTTATGTTTTGCCTTAAGTATGTTTGGCAACCCCTATGTTACTCTGCTAGATGAGCCGTCCACTGGAATGGATCCTGTAGGAATACAGCAGTTGTGGTAAGTACAAAATGCTGTGGAGCCTGTATCCTGTAAACAGTATCTTGGTGAATGTCTATAATACTTTTATTGTAAGTAAAGAATTATTTCTCCTTTTGATATAAGTTTGCCCTTGGTTTGGGCTTCTACCACCAAACAGTACCACCAACAAAAAAATATAAATGTATCAGAAGACTAGAATTAACTCTGTGGTTTGGGGATGCTGAAAAAAATATTTAAGAAAACCTCTAAGGATGCCTAAAGAACCCTTGCAAATATCTTTATTTTAATTTTTTTGATTTGCTGAAACTGCTTTCTCAGCTGAAAAGTGAGTAGCAAGTAATTATCCTTTGCATCTTTGGGCAAAAAAAAAAATGCTTGTAGGAAATAGAAACCCTCATGGCTTGTGGAATAGAATGCGGTGCCTCAAGAAGAGAAGAGAAAAATGCATATTTGTGTGTGTCTTTTCCTAATTCACATTGAGAAACACTTAAAAAATATTCCCTGAGACAAAAGTAATAGCTGACTTACAAAAAAAGCTCTTTGTTGGTGTGCTTTGTTCTTTGCTTTTATTTAAATGATTTTACTTCTATTGAAAAATTTAATACTGTTTTAAACCACTTTTTTGTTTTGATCCACATGTTTTTTCTTCGTCTGTGCCTTGTAATCATCCAGGCCACTGTTAAAAGACATCAGTGTTGAGGAAAAAGTGGGCCATAATAAAGATTAGCTGACAACCAGGAGTGGTTTTCCAAAAGAATGCACTTTCTTTCATGTTGTTTTGCTATATATCTTCTGTACAATTTTCCTATGCACTAATACATCCTTATGGGCCTTTTTAATTGTGTACAGAGTGTAATACATAATTCCCATAAAGAAATACATAAATAACGTGCCACTCTCAATTTTTCCTTGAACGTGAAAGATGTGTGCTCACTTTTGTTAATAGTCTTGCAGACCATACATTACAACTATATTCTATCCATGGCTGCAGAGTAGGAATGTTAACTGCCAATTGCTAGAGGGGGTATGACCGTTGGTGTTTTATAGCCTCACAATTGAACAGTTCAGCCCAAAGGAATCACAGTAGCAATTCCATCAATTTTCTTTAAAATGTAGTGAGGCAAATGGATGTTGCCTCTGCTTAGGCATGTAGCCAGGGGAGGGGGGCTTGAGGGGCTTCAGCCCTCCCCCCCCCCCCAATTCTCATGTTGGTCCACGAGAAGGCCTTACCGGTACATTATTTAAACTGTTATGTTTATTCATATCATGATCTGATCACCATGCTCAATATATCCCATATGCATGGGGGTATTGGGATAACGATACAAAAGGTTTGCTAGGGTAGACCCTCAGCCCCCCCCCCCCCAATCAAACTCAAAATCCTGGCTACGGGCCTGTCTCTGTCCAGTCTCAAATACAAACACATGAGACGTTAACATCTGATTTTGCAACCTCTACATCAGTGGTTCCCAACATTTTTTTTTTTACCAGGGACTTTGACCAGGGACCACTCTCCAATATTAGTACCAAAAGGATTACGAATCATTTTTTTTGGTCAACTTTAGATTTGGTTTAGTTATTTGGAGTGCTGATTCAGAAAATGGCATTGGATAGATAACATCAGCTCTAGCTTCTGATACAGAACATATGCCATCCAGTCGCCCACAGAAAACCACATTTAATAATTTAGAACTGATGTGGTATATCCAATGCAATTTTCTGAATCAGCACCCCAAATAACCCCAGGAACAGACCTAAAAATGAAGACACCAAGGTGCCCCTGCTTTCAGGCACCACATGGAATGGCTCCGCTCAGGGGGACGAAGGAGGAGAAGCAACCAGTCAGAAGGGTTGTTGTGCCTTTCGTGGGTAGTCAGACTCTCCTCTCCCAACGTCCCTGTTGCCTCGGCACTATAAGAAGGTTTCATGAAATCAATAACTCTCGTTGCAATGGTGTAGTAACGGTGAGGTCACGGACCATATTTTAGTTCTTGGGGACCACTGGTGGTCCACGGACCACAGCTTGGGAACCTCTGCTCTACATGAACAAGCAAGTTAATACTAGTTTCCAGTCTATTGTTAAAACTAATGGCATGTTTTAGATAGCAGTGGAACTACTTCCAGTGTTTATCCCTCTTCTGGATTATCTACTTTAACAGAACAAAACATCTTTATGGTTTCTGTTCAGCCTTGTGTATGGAGTACAAGTTGTACAAATGAACTGTCGAAATGCCCCAGTTTTGTATGAATTACTATTCCAGGGTTTAGGATTTGGCTATTTTTTCCCCTATAACAGTATAAAGGTATTTGGGTGAGTTAAAAGGGTTTGAGCCAAACTTCTTGCATAATCAAATCTTCTTTTTTGTGGAAAGTCTAGCAATGGGTCTTACATCCCTTAAAGGCAGCCATACCGAAGTAGCCAACCCATTTTTCATCTAGTGTTTCATTACATTTTATAGGAAAGCAATCCGAGCAGCGTTTAAAAGTAAACAGAGAGCAGCTATTCTGACAACTCATTATATGGCGGAAGCCGAGGCTATATGTGATCGAGTAGCTATCCTGGTGTCTGGAAAGTTAAGGTATTCTTTTCAGTGTGTCAAGTAAATAAGCTTGTTTTTTTTTTAAAAAAAATTAAAATGTCATTAGGATTTTGAAACTGAATCGACTTTCCTCTTCTTCTCTCCACCCCCAAATAACGGATAGGTGTATCGGAACAGTTCAACATCTGAAGAGTAAATTTGGCAAAGGTTATTTCTTAGAAATAAAATTAAAAGAAGTGCCAAATATGTTGCAGAAGGAGTGTATTCAAAGGAAGATTTTCCACATGTTTCCAAATGCAATTCATCAGAAAAGGTAAAAGTCAGCAATCAAAATATTCAGGCTTTAAATAGGAATTTTACACACACACACACAGTCTTTCAATGGTTTAATTGTTACCGTTACTTATTTAAACAAAAGATCCCATATGTGAGTCATACATCACACTACTTTCCTTCCTATCCACTCACAGCCCTTTGCATTTGTAAAGAAATGCATTAGAAGTAGTCATCTTTTGGTTTTGGATTTTTTAATGGTCCCATTAGAGATACACATGGTTCTCTTGATGTAGGATATAAAGAGATATTTGTATGTAGGTGAACTACAGCTGCCACCATCCTTGATCAACCTGTCTCAGGTATCGCTAGTATTATCACTTTGTCATGATGGGGGGGGGGGGTGCCACGTTTGGTGCAGATCCACCTTTTCTGTGTTTCATAGTGCTCTCTGAATATGGGTTGACTACAACTTCCATCAGTCTAGGGCAACCCTCTCCCCCAAAGCCCACCAGTATGTTAAGTTTGGCATGGTAGGTATGTGTGCCAAGTTTGGTCCAGCTTCAACAAAATAGCACATAGAGAATGGCACATGCTTAAAAGACATGTGTTGAAAACATTGACAAAAATTAGCAAATATAACAAATTCCATACATTTTGTGTGTATAGAATTTGTTATATTTGTTAACATTCATCCATTAAAGGTCCTTGCATCTCCATCAGTTCCACACTTAACATTGCTAAAGCATCTATTATGTTCAGATAAAAAGTCAGGCTCAGTTATTATTATATTTCCAGTATAAATAGAAAGAAAAGGGGGAATATATGCCTAAAATTTGTACTGTTTGTACTGTTTGTATTTTTTCCCATGGCATACCAGAGAACAAGCCCATAACACCTGTTGATGTTATGCAAATATATATAATCTATGTTTAATTTAAGCCATGGCACGTCGTGGACTTACATCTCTTTTGTGTCTTCTGTAGTTTTTCTTTAATTTTGGCCTATAAAGTTCCAAAGGAAGATGTCCACTCGCTTGCAGAATCTTTTTCTGAACTGGAGGAAGGTGAGGCAACAGTCTGCTCAGTTACCTGACTTTTTAAAATGAATTTTAACTGAATTCTTAAATACTATTTATATTCAATTCTGTTTTAGTCTCTGTATATTTGTATATTTTAAACTGTACTGAAAGGCTTTTAATGTAACCCAATTTGAGTCTTCCTGTTGGAGAGAAAATAAACATCATAACAATAAATAAATATTAATAGATTGTGGAACCTTCTTCATCAGATTTTCAGTTTTCTCTCCCAACCTCCTCATGGTCAGAATTCACTCTGTCAAGACTCATCCACACCTTTGTGCCATCTCATACATGATTCTATATAAACACATTCGTTTATCCAAGAATATGTTTTCTAATCACCATGCTATGTTAAGTTTACTTTTTGGGCTGTGCTCCAACTGATTTGCTCTCATCAGGCACAGTGAAATCAATCAAATTTCAGTTCTTTAAGGATGTACAGGCAAAGCTTAAGAGGCTCTGGAATGATTTCCTTTCATTTCTTATAATTGTTTAACTGGTACAATACTTACAATGTTCCAGAAGCTTATAGTGCAGTCTGTGCTAGCAAAGCATACAGAAGCAACTTGAGAAACTGAAAATTGCTTCTAGTGTGAGAGAATTGGCCGTCTGCAAGGACGTTGCCCAGGGGATGCCTGGATGTTTTACCATCCTATGGGAGGCTTCTCTCATATCGCTGCATGAGAAGCTAGATTTGACAGATGGGAGCTCACCCTGCTCCTCGGATTCTAACTGACATCCTTTTGGTCAGGAGTCCTGTCGGCACAAGGATTTAACCCATTGCACCACTGGGGTTCTGCTCTCCCAGTCATTGCGATGTTAGAGGCAATGGGGTCCTTGTATAGCTATGAAAGTGGAATGTGGAAACCATTATGATACCTATGAAAGTTTGTAGGGATCTTTCTGGCTGCAGTTAAGCATTGGTAACATAGAGTTTCAGATCCATAACTGATATGTATATACTCATGATTACCACAATCATAACCCTAATCCAGTTTCAACAGGCAGCAGCTACTAGGAAAGACCAGGGGTCTGTTCTCTGAGCAACTTGGGGTGCAGTGGGCTGATGTTTTCATCCTGCTTCCACCAGCCATCTCCAATGCAAGGAAGAATTGCAATGGGGATCCTCTCTGGGCATCCATCCCAGTGGTGGTTTTGAGACCTGGGATCTTGCCATGGCTGTTTGGCTGACTGAAATGAGGGAGAGGAGAAGTGGCCAGGTAGTGTCCGGGAGCAGGTGAGCACCAGAGAAAGAGCAATGCTCTCCTGGATCTCTGGAGAGCCACTGGTGACCTGAAGGTCACCTTCCCTTCTTTCCCCTTGACCATTGCATAGCCAGAGCAGTATCCTTGAGAGCCTGGCAGCCACATTGGGTAAACAGCTAGATGTAGTGAATTCTTGCTAGCTCATCATCCAAAAGTAGATATATGTGTACTTAATTTGCAAGTTACATATGCATATATCAAGAATGTGATTCTAGACATGTAGTTTTAAAGTTCACATTCAACCATTTCGATTCCTTCCATGGAGAGCTAACACATTCTTTCTCACCATTGTAACAGCAAAACATGCCTTTAACATCGAAGAATACAGCTTCTCTCAAGCAACACTGGAACAGGTAACTGAGAGCCTTTTAATTATTTTATTTATTTACAGTATTTGTATACCGCTTTTCTCACCCCTAGGGGGACTCAAAGCAGTTTACACGCAAGTCATGGCAAAAATTCAATGCCAGTACAAACAATTACAATTATACACTACAATTAAACATAAATCAAATTAAAACAATACATCCATAAGCAATAAAACAATCATTTTAAATACTGTATGTAAATTACATCCCTGAAGAATTTTGCCCATAGGCTTCAAATCTATATTTGGATATAGAAAGTAAATTATTATCTGAATTCACATTTTTGTCAGTTTTGTTGAGATTTCATCGCAATGGTGTGAAGTATTTTCTGAAATGCACCTCAAGTTCTGTATTAAAAATAACTTCTGCTGTCAGAACCTGTGATTCATGGTTGAATAACATTCGGTACAAGGCAGCTGGACTTCATGTATTCACTCAGTTCTTACTTGTTTTAGGTATTTGTGGAACTTGTCAGAGAACAAGAAGAGGAAGATAGCAATTTTGGAACGCTGAATGGAACACTTAGTTGGGAACGATCTCAAGGGGATCGGGTTGTTTTCTGATCTATTCTGCTTTCAATAGCATCATTTCTCAGGTTTTTCAAGAGGCGATATTTTTTCCTGTTTTGCATGCTTGGTGAAGATGATAATTTGATGCCCACATCAACAGTAATCTATCTTTTTGCCTTATTATTAATGTTATAAATACTTCAAAAATTCCTAATGGTATTGTTACTAGTGCATGACTTACTTTTTTAAATGAACATTTCCAATGCTTTTGTTTCTGTTTTGCTTGATAATTATAGTCGAAAAAAGCCACTATACAATTAAGGAGGATTTGTGATTTTCTGTTGTATCGTTATTGACTATGTCCAGATCTACAAGATTAGTGAACAACATCTACTCCCTAAGCAAGATACTACCATGGGTATTGATTTTTATTGATTTTCCACAGGCTTTCTATCAATGTTATGGCATCAGAAAGTTTTTGGTATTGAGTGCTGTAGAGTTTGTTACGATTCCAGAGACAAGCGTTCAGTTTTCTGCTCAGTCATGAGAACCAACTTGGGTTATCTTGGACAAGTTAAAAACTTTCAGCACTAGGAAATACCATAACGTGGTTGTCTTAAGGTTGCCATAAATCAGAAACAACTTGAAGGTATGCAACAACCCTGTTGTATGAGAAAGATTTCTTGGAGAGAAAAAACCCTTATTTGTGCCTGTTTTCAATCCACTCTTGACCTTTTGTTTATATCTCTATTTTTGGAGTACCATTTTGTACAAAATTATAAGAAGAGGTTTTTATGACATTCTCTTAGAATCTGAAGTACAAATTTTTACTCACTTCTGCCAAGATAAGTTTGTTTATGAGCAACTTGTCCAATTTCCTTCAAGGTTTATTACAGTTTTCTGCTATGATGTTCATGTGACAATCAAATGATAAACTAATCTTGAATCAGTTGTTATATTGGTGACCCAGGAGTCAAACACTGTAAAGTTTAACTGGTGACGTACCATTAACTAAAATACACAGAATGTATATTTTATGTTTGTTTTTTTTAAAAAAGCTTCTCTTGAAATAATTTTGATGCAAATCAGTAATGGAATATTTATTTATTTATTTTCCTTATTTATATCCCGCCTTTCTCTAACCCAAGAGGGACTCAGGGCGGCTTAAAATGGCACCTCCACATCAGTTAAAACATAACTTAAACATTACAATGTAAGTATAATAAAATATACATTTTAATTTTTGATCTACGTTAACATCTCAATTTGATAATATTTTTTTAATGAAGCCATATATTAATTGAGGGACAATGTTGTAGTCCCCTTTTCTCTTTTATTTTATATCATCTAAACATAATCTATAGTAATGCAGGTAAGGCTAGCATAAGCATCATGTCAATATCTTGTAAAACGTACTCTTGCCTGGCTCAGCTGAAATGTACCTGAAATGTACCTGTACCTCAAGCCATTCTGAATTACTTACTATTCATTAATATACAAGTACATATACAAATAATGTAATAAATCCACTACAATCTACTTTCTTTTGGTAATCGAAACTATCATTACTGGAGATTATTATCGTCAATTATCAACTATGCATTACATGCAGAGATACAGTGGAGTAAAGGTCAAGGTTTCCCCTGACATTAAGTCTAGTTGAGTCTGACTTTGGGGGATGGTGCTCATCTCCATTTCTAAGCCGAAGAGCCCGCGTTGTCCATAGATGCCTCCAAGTCATGTGGCCAGCATGACAGTGGAGTAGAGTTCTGGATGGACAGTGGAGTAGAGGCTGGATGGCCATCTGTCAGGGGTGCTTTGAATGCAATATTCCTGCTTCTTGGACTGGATGGCCCATGAGGTCTCTTCCAACTCTATGATTCTATGATTCACCAAATGTTAATTCAAAATGCATGTACATTCCTTGTTAACAATTATTATAGCATTTGTGAATTCACTATAATTTTTGCTGAGTTTCAACACACACAATCTATTATATATTTGGCAGGCAAACCCTGCTCTTAAATGTTATGTCTTTCTACCTTTGTTTGTGGTTTTCCATACATCATAACTGTATTCTCAATTTGCTTCTGACACGATAAATAAATAAATAAATAAATAAATGTCTGCCTAAATTTGGATGCAATCCAGCATTTTTCCTGTAAATTTTTATTGTAAACAGCAATGCAATATCAAAAGGTTTGGTCGGAAATATGTTAAATCAGACCATATTTTTCAATATGACCATATATCGCTTTGGGGTAGTGTTACAGTTTCTAGTGCAGCACATACGGACTATATTTAAAACTGTACATGTGTAGGCAAGGAAGAGCGTGCAAGGCTGGAGGGAGGTTCACGACAGCGAGTCCCTTCAAGGCATGGGAGTTCTGTGTGGGAAGTTTGGCCCAATTCTATAGTCTATGGGGTTCAGAATGCTCTTTGATTGTAGGTGAACTATAAATCCCAGCAACTACAACTTCCAAATGTCAAGGTCTATTTTCCCCAAACTCCACCAGTGTTCACATTTGGGCATAGAGAGTATTCATGCCAAGTTTGGTCCAGATCCATCATTGTTTGAGTCCACAGTGCTCTATGGATATAGGTGAACTACAACTCCAAAACTCAAGGTTTTCCAGCATTTTCTGTTGGTCATGGGAGTTCTGGCTCAATTCCATCAAAGAGCATTCAGAATGCTCTTTGATTGTAGGTTAGCTATATATCCCAGCAACTACAACTCCCAAATGACAAAATCAATTCCTCCCCCAATTCCACCAAAATTCAAATTTGGGCATATCAGGTATTTGTGCCAAATTTGGTCCAGTGAATGAAAATACATCCTGCATATTAGACATTTATATTACTATTCATAAGGTAAAGGTAAAGGTTGTCCCCTGACATTAAGTCCAGTCATGTCTGACTCTGGGGTATGGTGCTCATCTCCATTTCTCCAAGGTCATGTGGCTGGCATGACTGCATGGAGCACTGTTACTATTCATTACTATTCATAATAGTAGCAAAGCTACAGTTAAGAAATAGCAGTGAAAATAATTTTATGGTTGGGGGTCACAACTGTATTAAGGGGTCGCAGCATTAGGAAGGTTGAAAAACACTGCCCTAACCCAAAGCCATCAAAATGGTCACCATCACAAGGCTTCTAATCCACTGACTAAACTGGTGAAAGCTTGGCCAGCAGTGAAAGGAAGAATCTCACCCCCATAATAGTCCCTGAAGAAGCACATACTGTGACTAGAACAGAAGCACCTTCAAATTTATCATGCAAGGAATCACATTTCTGAAGAGATATTAACCACAAAGGATCTAGCCTCTGGGAGTCTTGCCAGCAGGATTGGTAGCCCTGCTTCCCTCTACCTACAGAGAAAATTCTCCTCCGCCTCTCCCGTTCCCAGATATTGAGAGATTTGTGGAATGTGTCTAATGGTGAGACATGGCACCTTTGCATCCTAATCTATCTGTATCCCAAATGGAACAAAATAGCCCATAGGAGAAGGTCCTCCTCCATGGCAGAAAAAATATTGAAAACTCAGAATCAGAAACAATGGAAATTAGAGGAATGGATTCTGTGTAAAGAAACACAAGACAGTTGTAGTTTAAACAGTATATCATTTATTTATTTTTTAAAAAACAGGATATTTAATTCATATTGCTGAAATTATATATATTTATTTATTATGGTCGATGACCAGCACCAAAGAATGAACAAAAAATGAATACTGCTAATATTGTTCATAGTTAATACTGCATTATTGTGTTGATTATCACAAATTACAAAATAAATCTTTTGCTGCGTTATTATAACTGAATATTGAAATTTTAATGATAATTCTTAATCCTGTAAGTTTGAAGGAAAGTGGGTTTTTTTAAAAAAATTAAATACATTTTGAAAAAAGTATAATTGATTTTGCTTTGGGCAGCTGAGTTGGCATGCCACAAATCAAGTTGTTTTAATCTATTAGTCTTGTTATATTTCTACTGCCAGAAATGGGAATGATGCTCGTGAGATTGTCCCGTTCACGTATCAAATACCTTGACTGTCTTTAAGCATAATGCACCTTGGCTTAAAGATGGGAAAGTGTTGTCATTAGCACTTTTGCTTCAGGCAGCAACAGATCTTGTGCTGTCCTTCGTTGTCTATGCTTATCCCATGTCACTTCTGATCCTAAAGTTGGCAAAGTGGACATGGGATTTAGATTCCTGTAGCTTTAATCCAAATAGACTGAGGAGAAGGATGAAGTAATCATCAAGTTAGATCAGGGGTCCTCAAACTAAGGCCCGGGGGCCAGATACGGCCCTCCAAGGTCATTTACCCAGCCTTCGCTCAAGGTCAACCTAAGTCTGAAATGACTTGAAAGCACACAACAACAAAAACAATCCTATCTCATCAGCCAAAAGCAGGTCCACACTTCCCGTTGAAATATTTGTTTATATTTGTTAAAACTGTTCTTCATTTCAATTATCGTATTGTTTTTAAGTGTTTTTTGCATTACAAATAAGATATGTGCAGCGTGCATAGGAATTCACTGATTTTTTTTTTCAAATTATAATCCGGCCCTCCAATAGTTTGAGGGACTGTGACCTGGCCCTCTGTTTTAAAAGTTTGTGGACCCTTGGTCTATACCTTAGGTCACAGCAATAGTGTTGATGGTTTATATCTTAATAGCTTAGTTTTTGTCTGTTTGAAAAAAAAAACCTCTTAGAGGAGTCAAGAGGGAATGTTTGAGTAGCTAAAATACGTAAGTGATCTATCTCTTAACACAGGGTACATTGGTTTTATTAGAACAAGATAAGGCATCTGTACTTTTCAAATGGATGACAATTGCACCATTTCAGTCATAACTTTTCATGATACATTTTAAAATATTCATGAATTTCTATTTCTTCCACTCCAATTCATTTTCCTTCTTTAGAATGAAAGAAAGCTGAAAAAGCACCTTTCCCCATTTTTTTTCATGTCAGAAGTGACTTGAAAAACTGCAAATCACTTCTGGTGTCAGAGAATTAGCTGTCCCCAATAAAATTCAAAGTGTCCACAAATATTACAATGTGACTAATAAGGGTGTTAGTCATACATATATCTTTTACAATATAGAGGAATAGGTATCAACTGTATTGTCCTCTTCCTTGGGGCTTCCAGCCTAGGATATAAACTAGATGTGATCTTCCTGAAAGGCAGAGTTGTTTCTTTGACTGTGTCAAGTTGTTACCAACTTAGGGATCGGCCTCCTGTAGGTGCTTCCATTCAAAAGCTGTATCCAGAACTGTGTCGGCATCAACTTGTTCTTGCTCTTTGCAAACTTCTAGGAAAACCTAAAGGCATAATAAAAACTTAGGTCTTTAGCTGCGTAGAAGAGTGTTTTAAAGTCACCACATCTATCAGTTGATCTATAACATAATTAGATTTTGGGACAGATTATGGAGTTTATTTTAATGGTGATGTACCTTCAAGACGCTAATTGCCATTTCCTCAAATTTTCTAACAGGCATGATCCATCTAAACAAATGACCATTGTTGTCAAAAATAAGGAAAGCTGGTCGATCTGTCTAAAGCTTATCTTAGATTACTCAAAGTTCTTCTTTTGGGAAAGGCATGACTTTCCTCTCCAATATAGCCTTTTTCCTTTCCTTTTCCTCCTTTCTTCTTCCTCTTTCCTTTCCTTTTCCTTCTTTCCTCTCTTTTTCCCTCTCTCCTTCCTCTCTCCCTCTTCCTCCCTCTCTCTTCTCCTTCCTTTCCTCCCTTCTCTTTCTTCCTTTCTCCCTCCTCCTCCTTCTCCTTCTCCCCCTCTCCTCCCCCCCTTCCCCCCCCCCTCTCTTCTCTCTCTTTTCCCCCCCGTAAAGAGACGGCTACCAGGTGGTAAAAGATCGCCAGCAATTAGTGAGGAAGACCCTTAGGCTTAGGAGAGAGGAGCCACCGATCCGTAAAAGGTTCTGGTATTAATACCACTGGATGCCACCCTGTTTGTGTTGTGAGGCAATTTTGGGAGATTGGGTACATGAACGCAGAATCAATGGAGATGAGGCAGCCCCAAAAACCAATGAGAACAAGTCCATTTTTAAACAAAGCGCATGGTTGCAGCACGATGATGTCAAGCCTGGCAAACAATTGAAGGTTACATGTAACTTGGTTGCGATACAACTCAGACCCTCGATGTTACAACCCATGAACTCTTGCTGTGGTGAAGCACCTCATCAACCAGTGTTCCCTGCAGTGAACAGTCCCCCCGTTTGATCCATCCTCGATCAAACGACAGATCTCTAGTCTTCTCCCGACTAGCGATCCCAACAAGCCTCTGCTAGTTCTCTCCAACTAAAGCAACTAACAAGATTTTCCCCTTCAGCTTCCCAACTGAAGAAATCTCCACTACTCACGAACACCGAAACCTGACTCTTCACTTCTCAGAGTCTCAATCCTGACCTGCTCTTCCCTGAGCCTAAAACCCTGACTGACTCTAACTGTCACTTTTCAAAAACCTTAACTCTCTAAGCTCCTCCCACCTCCTCTTCTGCCTCGTTTCCATGGTAACACATTCCTAACAGCTAGGCCGCTCCAGCCTAAGGGCAACCAATACAAACATAAATACAGTTATAAGCATATTATTATAAACACTTCTGTACAAAGGGAAATGCCGCTAAATATCTCTGTCTGTCATCTGCCTCGTCTGTATAATGACATTGAATGTTTGCCTTGTATGTCTGTGCTGTGATCTGCCCTGAGTCCCCTTCGGGGTGAAAAGGGTGGAATGTAAATGCTGTAAATAAATAAATAAATGTTCCTTTTTTTCTTTCCTCTCTCGTTCTTTTCTTTTTTTTCCCCCTCTTCCTTTCTTGTTTTTCTTCCACCTTTCTTCCTCCTTTTCCTTTTCCTTCCATCTTCCCTCCTGCCAGTTTCCCCCTCTTCCGTTCCTTCCCATCAAGAGCTACCTGATTCTCTGGTGTTACTTTCCTCGGAAATAAGAGTTGTTGTGACTCTTTTTTAGAGACACTGCACACCTCAGGACTGAGCAAACTACCTTGGAAAATACTTCAATGCTTTTCCTAGTAGGAGGTTATCAGGGGTACTATTGTTGCTCGGTATATTTTGTGGTGGTGCCTCTGGGGGCCTTTCCACAAAGACATATAACCCAAAATATCAAGGCAAAAAATCCCACAATATCTTCTTCGAACTGGGATATTTGAGTCCACACTGCCATATATTCCAGTTCAAAGTAGAAAATGTGGGATTTTATTCAGCTGTGTGGAAGGAAGGGGCCTAAGTCGGCTTGTTTTCAAAGGCTTTTCTGTGTTCCACAGTGTGCAGGAACCAGTATTGCTATTTTCCATCCCCAACCAGGTCAATGGATTGAGGAGCAAAGGCATCAGTTGAATATTAAGTGCGCCATCAAAACCTCAAGTGTATCCAATGTATTTTGGGCTCTATTTTTGTTTTACTTATCATTCTGACAAGGTAAATGAAAATTTGCATCTCATTGAGTTCCAGTCAGTTATACTGGGGACTGGCTGGGTGTATCTCCTTATTATTCTACTATATTTGCCACTCCTTTGTAGTATTCATGTGCAAGACTGAAATATGGAAATCAGTGACACCCTTCTAACCAAACTCTGAATGAAGATTCCCCTCCCTTGGCAGAGGGCGGCTTTGGAGAGAAGGTATTGCCGCAGGTGATGCCTCAAGGGCCGAGTGGGTGAAGGTGGTGGTTAATGCCTCCCTTTGGGAAGGCATCATTCCAGCAAGCTTAAAACAAGCTATAATAAAACCGCTGTTGAAAAAACCATCACTGGACCCCACTCAATTCGACAACTATCGGCCAGTTTCCAATCTCCCCTTTTTGGGCAAAATCTTGGAACGTGTGGTGGCCTTACAACTCCAGGTATTCTTGGTAGACACGGATTATCTAGATCCGGCACAGTCTGGCTTTAGGCCGGTTCAGGACCTCGACAGCCTTGGTCGCCTTAGTGGATGATCTGCGCCGGGAGCTCGACAGGGGGAGTGTGTCCCTGTTGGTGC